AGGATATAAGAATCTGATATAAATTAGAAACTCTATCTTTAATAAGATATTTTAATGCAAATTATACTAGTAATAAAGTAGATCAAAAGTCTATAATTAGTAGCGTCTTTATTCTTGCAAAAGGAGTAATATTATAGCTAAGCCAAAAGTAACAATTTATAGCTATATTAATAACAGAGGCTAAGTATATTAGTATATTAACTTATTTAAAATAAGCAATCTGGCTTGCTTAATTACTCTGGGACATAAGGTTCTTATAATACTTAGGAGAAAGCTAATAGACTACAAACCTCTTAGAAGATAACTAATCTGCTCTAGTGCTTATTAAGAATCCGCATATATATAATCGATCAAAGCATATTGATATTATATATTATTATGTTAGGGACCTTGTACAACACAATAAGATCAAGATCAATTACATCCCAACAGACAAGATAATAGCTGACAGACTGACTAAGCCCCTTACTGGACCACTGTTTGACAACCATGTGTCTCTACTTGCAAAGCTTAGTGCAAGAAGTGCACGGTTATTGCAAGCTGTTCGCATGCCAGAGACTGAATTCGTAGATGACTTCGAGATGTATTATACAACCTTGAAAGGACTCGGTGCCATTTCTCTATTTGATCTACTCAATCTACACTCGCCAACCAATGTGTATTGATCTGAACAGCATTTGCACTGCACCATCATGCTCCCATAACTCCCAACCAAAAATGAAATCAAGGCAATAATGTTTGATCATGAAGGCCTCGCCTTTCCATGAGCTTCGAACTTCCTATTCCAAGATTCCATGTCTGCCGGTCTCTCGTAGATCCTCCTTCCCAGGAATTTGAGAGCCTCATCAATGATGATGACGGGTGCCGATATTGAGCAAAGGCGGCTTGCCATTCCGTCCAGTTGGGAGACACGATGCCGACGAGACTTTGAAGGAAAGGCGTGTATAAGATGGCAAAGTGCAAAGATGAGTTTCATCCTCCTCCAGAGTAGCATACTAAGTTAGTGAGGAGCGATTCCGAGGACTTGCATTGGAAATGTGCGCTTTCTCGGCTGAGATGGCGAATCCATCATCTCGTTACCCAGATGCCAGAATTCGAGCGTATCCTCCTGTGCCAACAGTTTTGTTGGATGCTGCAGTCTGCAGTGCGCTGACTGTGTAGTCTGTTGTCAGACGCTATTTCTACGCGTTACCCCAGCGTTTTGCCTGCTTTCGATTGGTCAATTTCTGCCGCTATTTCGCTGCTAATTTCGCTGCAATCTGTACTTCGGCGCGCCGTGCGCCTTTTTTGAGAGAGAACAGAGCCATTTCTTCTACCTGTTTGACATCTGCATAAGTACTGTGCATTGCGAAACTCTTGCCAAAAAATTTGGTGGTTCTGCAGAACTGCTGGCGCCGTGCTCTCGAACACAAAGAGTCCTTACAAGTCTTCTACGCATTGAGATTAGATAAACTCTGTACTAAAGTGATGCTGAGCTTCATCAGATTCTTCTGATATAGATGAATAGTAATATAGATTCTAATTGACAGAGTTGAGTCTTTATGTATTAAATTTACTTTCCTGCTGAGAGAATGTCATATAATCAAAATCAATATTAAAAGATTCAAACGAAGCTCAGCATCATTTTAGCATAGAGTTTATCTAATGAGTCTATTCGTTGAGTCCCTATCAGCCATTTCTGTTTAACAACGCGGCGCTCACAATTCTCAATACCTCTTTTTTGCGCCTTTAGGGTCCGTCATCGCAGCAGTACCTGCGCCCGAGGTAAGGTTCGTTCGTTGATTGGGCCGAGGCCCGCTGGCGTTCACTTCTCCGTTTTTATCAAAACAAGAATTCTTCGACGGCCCACTATCTGTCGGACATCAACCGCCCCAATGATGACAGGCTCCGGAAGTATTGGGTTCGTAGATCTCGACTCAATACGATGCAAAGCCACAACGGAATGAGAAGGCTGCTACTTTTACGTACGGAATTGAGAGTACCATTAACCTGCATCTGCTGCCTGTTGTGAATGAAGAGAGGTAGGTTATAGTTAAGGCTGAGTATGAGCGCAGGTAGGTTGTTGCCTTCAAGGAGCTGGTGGTCGCCATCGCTACCCGGACGGAAAAAGGCTGGACGACAGGATTCAAGTGTCAAGCGAGCAGAACGACCTCGGCCCAGACGAGAAGTTGTCTCCAGTCCTTGTTCGGATGTTCCTTGCTCGAAGGAGAAGAGGGAATAGCCCGTGGTTGCCACAGATTTTCGGGACGGACATCACATAGACTCGAAGCAAGAGACGCAGCGCAAATTTTTCTGGACGGAATCAAATGCCAGGTCAAAACCTTGACAATTGCTCGAAAATATGAGCAGCAGACAACGTTTGCGGGCCGGCCGAATGACTACCGGGTGGTAAGAGCCTCACAGGCTCTCCAGCTGGAGGGGACACTCGTTGAGAGAGCTTTGGCTGTGGCTTTGGGAAGGGCTGCAACTTCTGCTGAGACGAAGGTAAAATGCCAGGAGTTTGCTGGGGCGAGGACTGCAAAGGCTGTCCAGCGCCAGCAGCACCAGCAGCACCAGTACCAGCAGCACCAGCACCAGCAGCACCAGTACCAGCAGCACCAGCAGCACCAGCACCAGCAGCACCAGCACCAGCACCAGCAGCACCAGCACCAGCAGCACCAGCAGCACCAGCAGAAGAAGGAACTCTTGAAGAGGATTGCGGTGGCTGTCCAGATGAAGCAGAGGATTGCGATAGTTGTGCAGATGAAGGAGGCTTGCGTTGAGGAAGATCGCTTCCGATCTGCTTCTTGCTGCTGCCACAGCCCATATCGGCTCGTACAAAACTAACGAAGCACAAGAACAGAGGATATAGTAGTACTGTGTGAATGTAATATGTCTTGCTCTAAAGGTGTATATATCGGTAGTGATTAAGAAGGTAGGATTGAATTGGGCAATTCGAGGTAGGATGCCCTGGTTCTTACCAGGGTTATAGGTATGGTGTGAATCGTTGTTTACAAAACGGAAACCGAAACATACACTAAGTCTCACAGCCAACTATCTCCCGGCGATGCACGAAAGCCAGAGCCACTTGAGTACGGATGCTCTACAGGCCTTGTAGTATTGTTGAGGAGCGGTGGCCATAGAAATCGGTAATGAAACTTCTATCACTGGAGAACCTTGGTCGTACGCATCTCGGCTGCCACAACATCTGGCACAGCGTCTGTATCAAGCTGATAAAATGAATACTATGGGCGATGGTCCAGTGATTGAGGCACGGAAAATAGGCTGCCCAGTGGCAAAGTAGATGCCATCCTCGACACTTGCTGCTTTCGTGCAAGACACGCTGCAGGAGTGTATCCAGTATCTGAGTTCGGAATCAAATCCGGGCCACAATAAGGAGGAGGTGGTAGGAAAATCGATAGGTTGGTTAGGTCTGTGCCCACTACCCAGCCATTTCACCCCTGAAACTCTGAACTAGCCTCAAAACAAGAATTGTTCGGCCAGTGTTCGTATGCAACCCTACCCAAGAACACTGCATCAACTGTGCCGTATCAGATTCACCAATTGTTACAACCAGCCGAACGCACTTCTGGATCGAGCAACAATATCGGACAAGTATTCGGACGGGCCAATAATGTTTTGAGTAGACTTTCTAGGACAGAGAGGGAAACTGTTCTCGATTCGCAACATGCACCCACAGCATTCCTTATCATACAAAGGTTGCGGTTGCTGCTCTGGCATGATAATCTCTTATTTATCAGCAAGTCGACTTCGAATTGGATGCTGATCTATTTGACTACAAATGTCAGTAGAACGGGAAAAGGCTAATAGCATCCCATTTCTCAGTACGTTTACAAGTTCATCTCTAGCTGAACAAAGTACTGTAAATTGACCATATCTTCACGGGTAAAAGCCACAGAACAAGCAGCAGGTTGGCGACGAAAAGCGTTACATGATCTTGGTGGAGTTTTTGATCTATTCACATTTGTCAGCATCGTTATGGCTATTGAGAGACAAATACCTGCAAGGGAGATCGCAGCAGATCTCGGTGTCTCCGAGCTCAATATTCCTGCAATGCATGGAAAAGCTGATCCACGCCGGTTATCCGGGATCATTTCAACAACCACAAAGTCCGTCTGATATCGCATTTACTAAGGGACTTCTGAAAAGAAGCAGCCAGGGCTTTGTGGGTCCCAAAGATCACCCACGCCTTCGCGCTCTTTACGAAGCCATCAAGGCAGTACGAAGCCCGCAAAGCCCGTGCGTCTTGTGCAGCCTCCTCATTTATCAGACATCAGTCGTTAGAAGAATCATAGAGTTTATTTTAATATACTTATCCAAGAAAGCATCTCAAATCAAACATAATCAGAGCCAGAACCAGACAGAAAAACAATTGCTCTCCAGGCACCAATGAAGACTGGCATCGAACACAATCTATCAAGCCCCAAGCTATGACAGCATCTCCTGACTGTACAAGTAAATACTAGCACACGATTGTTTATTGCACCGGGCGTCATGATCTCCAATCGATATATATATAACGATCCGAACCTGGGCCACAACAACGTCAATTTTCGCAAGAACTCTTATTAATTTACCTAAACCGCCACTCACAGGATACTATCAACCTTTCATCCTCTCGAACTCATCTATCGCGAAGAACGCGACTCGAATGAAATCTAGGACTTTCCACACATCATTCAGACCCAAAGGGAAGAAACGAAACGAACTAGGGGGGAGAGAGTAGATAAAAGACATGTTGAGATATATCCTCATACTAGAATGCCCCCTTTTACAGTAGAATGCCTACACGGACAGCGGTGGTGGTCATGTCGACATGACAGACTTGGGAGCCCAGTTCTCCACAGGTAATGTCAAATCTTCTTAATTTCACGTTATACTCCGCAGCAGCAGGAAAGAATTCCAATTAGGATGGGCAAAACCTTTGAACGCAAAGGAAATCTTTGGCTAAGGCTTGGCCGGGTCGATCACTTGCAATACCCGGATTGCTTCGAAGTCTAGGAGACTACTAATCTTTGTGGGACGGAGGAACTCATTCTTATCTATCAGTACTCTGTCCTTAGGAACATGTAATTGTCATCGCTAAGCCCATTCAATTCGTTCCTTTTTTCGGTCTATAGAGTCCGATACCGGAGAGACAAGTGCGTAGCCATGCGAACAGGGCTTTTCAAACAGTCATGAGCAGATTCTCTCATGGAGACAAGCTTCATCATTGGAAAGACATTCGAATTGGTGATGGGACAGGAGACGACCATGTGAACTTCCCTGAGCTGGTCGGTGTATGGAAAATCTCTCCTACCGATGATTGTCATTCCTTAAGTCCCAGGTCTTCCTCAGCAGGCACAACACGTATTGTGTTCGTGTGACCCATGCCACCCCTCCAGCCCTGGACGCAGACAATGCCATCGCCTTTCTTCACTATACCAAGCTTGGTGGCCTGTGCAATGCCCCATTTCAAACGCCTATCAACATCTTGTTGCCAATCAGCCTTGTCGAAATCTGGTTTAGGTTCTGGGAAGCAGAATGGATAAACCCCACGGTAAAGATGGGCATATCGAGAGGCACGCTCATTCCGGGTAACCATGATGATCGGGCAGACGGGTCGATATTTAGACAGGATGCGAGCAGAGGTACCGCTACCGTGGTACGTTAGCCAGATGATTAGAGGGTATTCGAATTACAAACCTTGTAGTCAGCACCAAGATAGCACCAGCAGTCAGCTCCATACTAGCACTGACGGCAGACATGGCGACAGATTCGACGGTATCGCATGGTCGCGGACAGACTCCACGAAGCTCAGTGAACAGATTCGCATAAGGTATGGCAACCTCGGCCAACAAACAAGTGTCGTGCATCATCTTGACAGCTTCCTTGGGATAGCTACCCTTTGCAGTCTCGCCCGACAACATGACACAGTCGGCACCGTCGAGAACAGCATTGGCGACATCGGAGACTTCAGCACGGGTAGGACGAGGGTTGTTGGTCATGGATTCGAGCATCTGCGTGGCACAGATAACGGGCTTGCCGGCCATGTTGCATTTGGCAATCATCATCTTCTGAGCGATGAAGACCTTGGCTGCCGGAATCTCGATACCCAGATCACCACGAGCAACCATCACACCATCAGTCTCTTTCAAGATCTCGTCGAAATTGTTGACACCTTGTTGATTCTCGATCTTAGCAATGATCTGGATCTCCTTTCCTTCTTGACCAAAGACTTTGCGAATTTCTTTAATGTCCTCGGCTCGTCGAATGAATGAGGCAAACACCATGTCCACTTCGTTCTTCACACCAAATTCGAGATCAGCAAGGTCTTTCTTGGACAGGGCTGGTAGATCAACATCTGTGCCTGGAAGATTGACACCTTTCTTCGAGGAGATTTGGCCGTTGTTCAGAGCTTTGACTCGAAGAGTCTGGTCGTCTACCACTTTGAGGACTTCAAAAGATTGGATGCCGTCGTCAACATAGATGAGCTTCCCTTCGCCAATGACTTTTGTGATGTTCTTGTAATCAACATAGCTTTAGAGCGTTAGCTTCGCCAGCTTAAAGGCTTGGTAGCATACGCACAGGTTCTTGTCGTCGCTGGCAGTAGCATACTTGTCATCGGTCGTGATGTTGAGCTCAAGACCAGCTTGAATCGGAATATCGGTATCTCCGGGTGTGTTGCCAGTGCGGATCTCAGGTCCTTTCTACAATCCTAATCAGTGCCTGCAAAGCCCTAATACTGCTCGTTTGAAGATAAATCATGTCTCACAGTATCAAGGGCAATAGCCAAAGGGCGTCCTGGTTGTTGCTTCGTAGACTCACGGGCGTTGTCGATGACGGATTGGTGGTACTTCATACATATCAGCTCATCATCGAGTTCCCCAGGAAGCTCAGGCTAACCTCGTAAGAGCCATGAGAGAAGTTCATGCGGACAACATTGAGGCCAGCTATTAGAGAAGATCCACGTCAAGCCTTGCCATAGAACTCATGTATGAAGCTCAATATACCAGTTCTGAGCATCGAAATCTTCTCCGCTGAATTTGTCTTCGGCCCTGTTGCGTGGTTTAAGTTGGCCACAGTACGATAGCTGGAGGTTCAGGTGCCATGTACATACCAATTGTACCAATGATAGAGGTACGGCGGTAATTCTTCTCAGGCTGAAAATCAACATTCAAGCTCGCTGTCCATTCCAGCTTCGTCTGGTTGGCAAGATGCTCCAGGGCGTTCGCCATGATGAAGGGGTATGATGTGGTAGTAGGGAGAACGGTTGCGATTCAATCCTTGAGAAAGTGAAGAGCTAGAAGATGAAATGGTAGGGTGCAGGTAGGTCAAGGTAGTAGTAGTGTTTAATTCTGGAACTGCAGGTCAATGGAAACGGACTGCAGACACTTCCGAGGACAACATTACTATACGTCTTGAGGGTAAAGCTGTTGTTGACGTGATAGTGTTGTCTGCAAAAGAAATCCCTTTCCAGGGATTAAAGCTCGTGGAAGCTACCGCTAGCAAGTGCTGTGGTACAGGCACTTTCTTTCCTGGATAGCGGAGAGGTATGCGTTGGATGTTGAGCACGGAGAAGCGACGTTAGCCTCAGGGCGGAGCTGTTGATAGGCGGGTCGCCTTCTTTGGTGGAACGGTGGGGCCCGAAAAGGCTGGTGCTTGGAGCAGCAGGAGCGGTTGGCTAATTATCCTCGGATTTTCCTGCACCTTTGAAAGAGTGACCGAAGGGTTGGTACGGGGCTAGTAAGGAGTAAAGCTTCACCTGTCCGCATCAATGTTCTTGCGGAACAAAGACTGGATTACCCGGGCTTGGTGTTCATAAGGCAAGGCTAAGCGGGATACTATAGCCCTAGCTAGCCCCGACAAGCCGAGATGGTGCACATGGGGCTGCTCAGCGCAGGCGACATCACCGTACTGCAGCCTATGAGTATTCTAAACAGCCAGTCTTGCTCAAAATCATCTCTATAAGGCTTGTACGGTGTTGCAGTCATGGTTGTACGTACATCTTCCTCTGGGATCCATGCTGCCATCGCTCTCTTCCGGAGCATTTCCTTCACCCGCGTTCGAATGGCTAACAAAAGTTACCTGGGTTACAGCTTGGTCGACTCACCCACTACGCCTTCGATGCAATCTTAGTATCGGCATTCCTCGCTGGTGTGAAACGGAGTACAGGCCTGACGTGCGCTATCCATTCCTCCAACTCCAACCTCAGTATTCTGGTTGGAGGCATCACTAACTAACGCGTAGTCCCAGATTCAACTCGGACAAAATATCAGATAGCAAAGAGCTCAAGAACTGGGTGGATAAATATCTTGGGATGGGAGAGTGGGTGATGGATCAGAGTGTGGCGGTCATGGGGAGTAGTTCCTGGTTCGAAAGGAAGAGATGAGAAAGGCTATGCTTGTTGGGAGCTGGATTTGCACACATGGGAAGACCAGCATACGAACGGCGCAATGGAGCAGGAGTTATACATGAAACCTCTGGGTTGGCCCTCGCCTGGCATCTGCATTGAGAGAACAACAGCTGTCAAAGGGGATATTTGTCTAGCTATGAACACTTTGAATCTCAGCCTACAGTCCTTTCCGAGGTTGCCATCAGTAAACACGTCTCTGCTCTAATTGGTAGGTTGTCCCTCAGGGACCTGCAGCTATTCATATTGTCGCTGATCGTTTCGCATTCACCTGCCATGATCGGACCGCACACACTTTGACCCAATCATTGGGTTGTTAGGCTGGTTCCCTTGCCGTGCGTCCGCTGGAGCTGATCAAGCTGTCAATGTTAACCCTCTCGTAGAATGAGATGTGTCCTAACGGCACCCAGTATTGCGCCAGTCTGTCGTGTGAGATCATGATCAGTTGAGAAGGAACAAACTCATCTATATGAACAAATCAGCATTAGATTCAAGAAAAAGGCTCGACAAAGTAGTGACAAACCATCCTGGAAACCTCTTGCAGCTATATGCGCTCGACTCTTTACAACCCTTGCTCCCCGGAAAGGCTCTTCTTCAGCTACCCGAATGAAGCCAGCCGAGCCAATGTCATTCGCAATCCAGGTGTATTCTCCTCGAGGCACATTCACATCACCCGTCAGCTTGATTGCTTCAATCCTACCTTTGAAACTGGAACATTCCTGTACACGATCTTCGCCGTGGGGCGTGTTTGCCATGATGATTCTCGTGTCAGGCTCGTCTTCTGGCAAATCAGAATTCCACCTACTCCATGCTCGATTTCGTGTTGTGTATGCTTCACCTTGCACGGTCTCTCTCTGCGTGACCAGCAGGAACTCGCATCCATGCCCAGCATAATCTCCTACCCAGATTCCTTGATAGGGCTTTTCCTTCGTAGGTGTGTATAAGTCGGGGTCTAATGTGCTCCAAGTCGAAACCTCCTCGCCCATCCTGACACGAAATGCAGACCCTCCCACAGAAAATTGCATCCACGTTCGTAGCCTGAACGTCTTGGTACTGATCTCCTCGTATTTCTGTGGTTTGTGTCCCCATCCATGGAAGTTGTCCTGTGAGGCACTCCGAACTCTCTCATGCGTGGGAATCAATTTTGGTGGCCACATCTCCATACTTGGATCCTGAAGCTGTTTTGGTAGCGCACGACTCAAGAAGAAGGTCGAGAAAACACTGTCATGCGCATCACTTCCAACTTTCATGTGTATTTCTCCTTCCCACCACCCCTGACGCCTCAACTGCCTTGCAGGATCGATGTGCTCAAGCTTGATGACAGGACGATCATGGTGAAGAGTCACTATAGGGTCGAATGAATGAATGATAACCTCCGAGTCGAATGACCAATGTTGAAATGCGCTTTCCCCCCTGCTTCCTAGTAGCCTGTACCCTTCTATGGAACCTCTCCTTGGGTCATACTTGACCAGTACAAGCTTCCCTGTATGAGCGTTGTCCGAGAACCATACTCTATGTTTCGGTAAGAACCAATAAGGATGGTGCGCGATGTACAGCGATCGAAACGATGGTGATGGATATGGACTGTCTGGGAAATTGGGTAGGCATTCGCGGATCAGGTTTGCCCACAGAAGCTCGCTTTCGGCATGCTTACGAAGCAGTCGGCAGGTCCTGATCAAGGAGACGAGGGCCGGACATTCTAGGTGAGTCAGAACTTGGTGAAGGATCTCAGGCGGCAGAAGAGTTAGGTTAGAAACCTCTGCTTGTTGGGCATTAGGCCCAGCGTTGTGATTCGTGGGACTGTGCTCTGGTGCTTCAATAAGCGACGGCTTCATTTTCGTAACTTCTCAACTACCATTATTCATTTTTTGAATGTTATGATCCAGTATGGTTATTTTCGCCCGAATGGTCGGATGAGTTGACGAATTCTGGCAATGACGTTCTGGATCTCCACATTCCGAATCACAGGTGAAGACGACTCAGCACACCACAATAGATAATACGTAGTACATTCAAAATCTATGCTAGAGACTACAATTTCTTGTTGATAAGATTTTCCTATATATTTTCTATCCTCCCTAATCGGAGAATTAAAGCGGCGCCTGAAGCCGGCGAAGAGATGCACACCAAGTTCTTCATGGCGACCGTCGTATTGACTTGAAATTTCAGCCTCTCCCATGCCAGTAGCCTCCATAAGCTGATGCCAGTAGCCTCCATAAGCTGACGCCAATAGCGCCGTGCATAGTTTCAAACTTTTCAGGGTCAGTTCCAGTGCATTCAGAATGCGGTATCATGGCGAATCACGCAAAGAGTCTGCTTCTTTAGAGCTATGACCAGTACCAAAGTATGAATTATACTTGTACCAAGGATCACGCCAGAATAAAACGGGGCTGTGAACTCAAGGATTGCGGCGATTAACAATGGATACACAACAACAGGGTTGACGGCTCGTTCTCCACAGGCGCTTAACAGCGAGATCATTTTTGCCAAAAGCGCCAACACTCGAGCACCGTACCAAAAAGTGGAGGACTTGAGGAACGCTGGTGAGGCTGGAAGTTGATGGCTTCTAGCCGGCGGAGGAAGTAGTAGTGGGACCCGCTCGGAAGCGGCAACGTCCCAAGAGCCGTGACGCGACGGCGCAGGAAACTCATGGCTAGATTCTTGGGTAGGAGAGGAGACCCTTACAAGCTGCTGACGAGGACTTCTGGCTCTATTGGATGTATCATTATGCTCGGGTCCGGTTGGAAGAGTTGCTGGCCGTGATAGCTGACGAAGTCGCGACGGAGATCGTTGGGCTATAGATGTGGATTGAGCTGTACGGTGAGTAGAAAGGCGAGTGCTAGCGGATTCCCGCCTGGGACTATCAATCAGTGTAATGCGATCCGACTGAGTAAGCTCGTCTGAGGAAGAAGACGCCGGATCGATTGGTGACGAGAAATCTGAGAGCCCAACTCCAGTTCGGATGGCATGATCGACTTCTCCAGCACTGGGACGATGCTGCGGCTTGATTGCAAGTAGTCTTCGCATAAAGACATACAGTTTCTCGGGCAGTTCAGGTCGTTTGTGCGCTTGTTCGTCGAGACCCTCCCAATGAAGTATTTCGGCCCTCAGGTCGTCGAGATCTTCGTTCTCTTCATTAAGAACATCGGCGTTGCGGTAGGGTAGGGTAGCAAAGCATAGAAAATAGAGTATCATGCCAAGAGAGAAGATATCAGACTTGACTGTAAAGTTCTGATAAGGACCACCTGGAGACTCCCTGCGTAGGACTTCAGGGGCGCAGTAGGAGATGGTGCCAGTCGAACCGGTGGATTTCCGGATCGCTGTTGTTGATTGGACCTCACCAAAGTCGCTGACGAGAACTCTTAATTCTCCCTCCATTTGGTGCAGAAGGCAATTACTAGGCTTGAGATCCCGATGAATGTAGCCACTTGCATGTAGAAAGCGTAAACCGGATGTAATGTCTTTGAAAAAGGAATAAATCTCATCCAAAGAAAGCTTTCTCCGCTTGTCTACATCATCGGGCCTCTCAGTCCCACCTTTCGACCTTCGTCGAATACGATTCTTCAGCTCTGCAGTGGTTATAGATGGTTTAGCTGGCCCACAGACGTAGTTGTGAAGGTCACCACCATTGCAGTACTGTTGGAGGATGAAAGCGCATGGCACGCTTGGGCCAAATTTGCTAAGTTGCACATCCTCAAGCCAGACATGGCGGTAAGACACCAAGTTTTGATGAGAAAGATTTTGTAGCGTCTGCACTTCTGTTAAAATCTTTTTGAGCCATTCATGATCGTCTCCCACGGGAACACGTTTGCAAGCGAAGTGTCCAAGCCGAACACCATCTAGAACATGTGCAACAAGTAATACCACACCTTTTCCACCACGGCCAAGCACTTTCTCCTCCACAAAGAACTTTTTAAAGTAGTCTTGGCTAAATGCCGACGACGAAATACCATGAGCTTCAGTGGGTGCTGGCGAGCTTCCCACAAACTCGGCGCCGGAGGGCAGATCTGATCGGGCACTGCTCGGTGAAGTCAAGGACTGCAAGAAGCGTCTCCGAGGTGATGTAGAAGGTGACGACTTGGGGCTCCCATTCAATGTGTGGCTGAGCATGCGAAAGTACTGGGGATCGATTACATCTGGACTGGATATCGCTGCAACATCTTCTTCGTCCGTAGAGTGCGCTGGCCATGGTTGATGGCAAGTTGGGCAATTGGCATGTTCAAGTTCTACGTCACGTTCTGTGTTCAGTGTTGCCATCTCCCTCGAGGCATGATCGTAAACCACAACAGATGTGTCCTTGCGACTGGTAAGGTCAGCAGTAAGTCTCCATGTCCTCAAGAACTATCAAAACAAGATTTGGAAGACCTTACAGCACGACTTGGCGATTGGCGTTGCCAAAGGGTATGAGCGAGGTATCGCCATTAAACCCATCGCTTGCCATGATATGAAAGGCGATGGCGAGAGTCGTCTCTCATCAGCTCCGTTGCAAGCTCGATGAACCAAAAGGAGCGTTTAGGATCATGCATAGAATCAGATCATGCTGTACTTCTTATATGGTGCCATTTCCATTACATACGGCTGACGGAGGTCACATCAGGGTCATCATCCCACCAGGCAGATTCCTAGTATTCTGGTCGTCCGCGGCAAAGCCTTCTGATTTGTACTGCCAGGACAACCAAGTGGAAAGGTAATATTGCAGGGAGGTGTTTTACACCTGACACACATAGCTGCTTCCAACATGCTCTTTCATTGGTGATCTCTGGTTGGAGGAAGTCCAAAACTGAAACCGCCGAGGAACCGGCTTGGCAATCTGAGCGGCGAAATTGTGCGAGCGATATTTACTACTATTAAAGCCCATATTAATCGTCCACGTCCTCTTTAGACATATCGTACGAAATTTTGTACTCAAGTATCTACACATCTTCTTCTCCTTTGCGACACTGTCAAAACTGGGTATTGGTGGACAAGTTACGGCACCAATCGAACAATCAAGAATGGATCTATGAGTCGTAGAGATATTTACCGCCAACATATTCAAATCATCGCCGAATGGCACAACTTCATATTAATACCTCGCCCGTATATACACCAAATTCTCCTTCGCTTGCCTTGTGGCTTAAATGCCCATGCAGGATCTGAGTATGGTTGTATGACGCCACCGAGACATTGTTTCTGCTCTGAATCCTGTCGACCCAGAAGAGGTGCTGCATAAGCGCGAGGTAATAGCCAACACTGGAAATATACTGAGTGCTGCAAAAAAAAAAGCCCGGTAGTCACGGTTTTCACGCCACTCAGGTTCTGGGCAAACTGAACATAGCCAGAATAGTTATGGTGTAGGACGATGTCATACAAGGCGCCAGGTGGTGATAGGCCTGCTCGGGGTTTCCACCCATAAGATGAGTAGCCTGTCCATCTGACTGCTGCTGCGGTAAGTAGCCAATGACAGACATTTGAAACGTAGTCAGTCGTGGAAGAGCAGTAGAACCACATGGCTGGCATAGAGGTTGACTTCCAAGGTTCCGACTCTCAGCACACCATCCTTGCACTCAATCGCAAAGAAAACTGTCTGGCGCAAAGAAGTGGACGGAGGGATGAATCACTCTGTGCTGAGCATAGCAAATCCTTGCTAGCCACTTGAAAGACGTTACCCGAGCGAATCAAGCCGGCACTCTTCCTAAAGTAGCACTGTCAACCCTATGAATATAGAACACAATGTTTGCCCAGAATTATGCCTGACGTCAACGAAAATTCTCCGTATGCATAAGGATGCCTCGTTTGTGAACTGCCAAATCGGCTTATTTGCCGTCCTTCTTTGCTCTCGTATAAGGCATCGTCTCTTGGCTGGAGAAAGAGAATGGACTTTTCGCTACATCGGGCGTGCGTGGACTCAGTGCTTTAGCGAAAAGCTCATCGCCTTCGTCTGTTTCTTGTAGGCTTGACATAAAGTTGATCGAAGGGATGGATGCCATGGATTGCTGACGTTTGACATAGTCAGGTGGCGCCTGGGAAGAGATCTTCTTCTGTGCTGTCGAACTCGGTACATTTGGCGGAGTCCGGCGGAAGGAATTGAACGAGGAGAAAGCGACATCCGATGACTCTGGAGATAAAGGATGTACATCATGGCTGGGAGTATTCACACCTAGACGCGGAATCAGTATAATTGAGATTCGATGCTATACAGGATATACTATACCCTCTGTACGTTGAGCCAAATCTTTTTCACTGGTCCCAATACTTAGGCCCTTAAGTTTCTCACTCAACCTCCTTCCGCCCGGACTCTTTGGGCTAGTCAAACCAGGGCTCATTGGACCGCCAGGATATTTTGGAAGCGAGGAGATGTCCAGAGCCGGCACCTTCGATATAACGCCAAAATTGGTTTCTATCCATTCTTTTTCGGAAAGTGCCATTTCGAGGGCAATGCCTTCCAGATTGAAATCTTGCTCACGTCTAATCTCCTTGTCCAAGACTTGGAGCCGTTTCTTGGCCCATATGGTATGCAGTACGCCCTTCCGGCCGCTAGTTCTTGCCGTAACACCAAGTTCGGGAGGAAAGATGGCTGGTAAAGGATTGATCCTCAGATGCTGGGGCTTGTTCACCGAGGAAGCTGATTTCGGTGGTGGTTGGTAGGTGAGTGTCACATATGGTGGAATCTTGGTTCCTGGAGGAAGCAGGAAGTAGAACCGTCTGACGTTGTCGGCTGTACGCTCGTCGGCTGGCAGGACGGTTGTCTTCCCTGACCACGACACCTGCCAGAGACCCTCTGCGCCTCTGGCCTCATTGTAGTCCTCCCACTCGACCATTAACACCTTGGTACCATCATTACTCTTCCCTGGCTCGAATTCAAAGCGTGCGAGGGCCGAAATAGAGTCCAGAGTATCTGGCGATCGTGGCGTTGCGGGGGCCGATTCGGTGTCGCCATCTGCAACAAATGTTTGAGACATTTAAGCGAGTTTTAAAGTTGGTGGCTTTGTTTCAATTGCTGGAGTTCCTTTTATGTTATCCACGCTGATATCCAACTCTTCTTATCCCTCAAATCCCTCCTCTCGAGCTGAGAAATATCCTCTGCGGTGCGCAATTGAGATTTGGAGTCGCTGCAGGGCGGGCCGCAAGGTACCAAGAACGCGCGGCCAAAAATAGATTTCTCTGGTTGCATTTTGCATGGATGACGACAATCGGACGCTACGTCAAAAATCACGATAATTCCGGTACGTAAGCACGGACTTTCAAGAACACGGGCTGCAGCTCAGGTGAAGGTGCAACCCATGAATTTCGTAAAGATTCTTGAGAGAAGAAATATCTCAGAAGTCTATTGTGTGATAAGTTGAACGAGGCTAGTCATGTAACGTACCCAGTTGAAATGTGCACCACACCCCCATGTGCACCAGCAATTGCTTGGCGTTCTGGGCTCAGAGCGTATTTCTATCAATTGAACCTTGCTGGTGCCGTTGGGAGAAAGAAATGGTATAAATAAGAATTATGCAAGCAAACATTGCTTGATTCTGGTCGTTCAGCCCATGGCTGTGTTGATTTTAGTGAATATTCGCGGAACAGCGGGAGCTGAAATCAATGGTCTTGAAGATTTTGATAGGCATGGAGATACCAGTCCTAGTTAAAAGTGATGCACATGGGGTGTGATGCACATGTCAGTTGAGTATGTTAATGGAGTGATTGAGGTTTTTGTTGAGATCAAGCTCTCGATTCTCAAGTACAATGGCTCCCCATTCTTTGAAATATTACTTGGTAATATATTCCTTAATTTCCGTAAAGTGAGTAAAAGCGTTCTTAAGTCTTCAGGACAGTGTATATACAATATATACTATTGACAACTCGATCCCCCAATATCCGATTGCCGGGTAATATCGATCGGTAGAGCGCAAGATCCTTACCAAAGAAAAAATCTTAAGGCTGATGTCAACCTGCCTCCCAGAGTGTGTAGAAAACAAGCTGTATTATTAAGGCGCTGTATGCGTAGAAATACGCACAAAATAAGCTATACGGTACAGCGAAGTTTGCTCTGTAACTGCACTACTAGTAAGTTAGGAACTGGCCAAGTAAACGCAGACAAATAGTAGGGATTCGACGTAGCAAAAACTACGCTCATACAGCTTACAGCTAAGGATTTGGCCTTCTCATTTAACTAAGTTTTTCAGGCCATTTAACTCTCTTTATTACGGAAAGGTGCGCAAGACCTTGGCTTCGGCCTTCAATTGAATTGAATGAAATTGCTGCCATGAAAACCTAACACAAGTTCCTTTGTAAACCTTGAAGAAGCCAATGAGATTTTACCACCATGAGAAACTGATTCATCATCTGGTTCTAGAGAATTCACGTTTTCGATGTTTAGGGTTGCTTGGAATAAAAGTGGTGTCACGATTCTAACTACTTGTGAAGGCTGCCAGCAAAAATTACATTTCTCCAGGACCACGCAGCGGATTGGTTTTGGATTGGCTGTAGCTTGACTTAAAGAATACTTTGGGACATTGGGGTCAATAGGTTATTGATAGAACATAAGGACAGCCAATCTAATATTCCTACCCCAGGCATACGTGGGTAAGTCCGAATAAGATAGAATTCGCCGTATGCGTACTGCCAAATCCTCTTAGCAGCACGTGACCTTAGCATCACATACTTCAAGTTGCGCACCTTAGTACATTAACCTACTCCTCCTTCTTAGATAGAATTTGCAGAATAGATAGAATTCAGTTCATCCACCTCACTACATGTACTTAGGAGGCGGCTTGCCTTTCCAGCCAAGCATCATTAACCTTATATCGACACCTGATCCAATCACCCCGGTAGACGGGTGGTACTGCTGAACAAGGGACGTGTGGAATGGGGGAGGGAAACGTTATAACGTGAGTTGTGAAAATTGTCGTTGTTACGATATAGTACTGCTGGATCAAAACAAGAGAGTGTTATTAGCTCATGTAAATGGTTATTGAATGATTAATGAGCGCATAGAACCACTACAATCCACGAGAAAAATCCACCAAAGAAGTGCCGCAAACATTGTCAAGATAGCGCTCCTCAATGCTCGTATCAAAGATTTTCCTTGGCAAACTTCCTTCCTCCCCGCTGATGATACCCTATTGTCTGTATCGCTCTGTTGGGTTGGTTGGCTGGGATACGAGGTTGAAGTGTTTTCCATGCTTATTTGAGGACGACGTTGACGTTGCCAAGACAGAATTGAATACTCTAGTTATATGTTTAGGCAAATATCAGAGACACTGTTGAGGGGAAGAACTTACGTTTTGTGCGTTGCAGCAGACAACGGTAGTTGAGCACTGAGACCCGCCAGCTATCATAGTAGGTCAGCATATATCAAAGTGTACAGGTGGCTATGCCAATGAGGACGCTCGAAGAGTTTGACGAGAAGAAGCCGCTGGGGGAAACGAAAGGACTAACTCATGGAATAGCAGCTGGTGTATTGTCCCGAGCCGTCCGAGTTGCAGCAATAAGGGGTAACATTGTTGCCACATGCATTGCTCTGGCTAACGAAAGTTGGCAGCGGCTTGGCTGGCTTGGTGGGCTTTGTTAGAGTGGCGTCTGCATCAGCGGCAGGAGCAGCAAACGCTGTGCCAGCGAAGACGGCGGCAAGGGCAAGGAACTTGGTGAAATGCATCTTTGGTTGGTGATGAGGCTAGAGTCTCGGTAAAGGATTGATGTGCTTGGAACTTGTTTATTAGAGCGAAAGATGGAGTGAATGTCTGTTGAGAAATTGAGAAGACAGAGGGAAGACTCGAACACTTTATATGGCTTTGGTCTGCGGCCATTCCGATTTCGACGCATCCCTTGAGGCTGCCCTGGACGCCTTTGACTGCTGCATGATTTTCCGTTGCTTCTCCTATTTCTGAAGTCTGGACAAATGGGGAAAGGAGGAGAAAGCCATCCGAACGGTTCTCGACGCCCCTTGAGGCCTAATACTCAAATAGGACGTGCACTAGTTGCCAACATAGCAAGGTCTTAGCTGAATATTATTAGATCTTGAACTCCTCAAAGGCCTTGCGAGCCGAGACCCTGATTGACGATATTGCATGGACGGTAGCCTCATGAAGAGGAGCACGGCGCTATGAATAATCCATCTGCACCCAACAGCCCATCAAGATACGAAAGGTGGCCAAAGTACTGAGTGGCTACAACGTGTGGTCTGCAGCCAGCCATCCAGTACCATATGTGCCTCACACCACACATAAACGATGATCAGGAAGATGTGGAGATCCGAGCCACGATTAGGAACACACTTCTGAGATTACACAACGGACGGGCTGCATGTTCACAGATGCAGGATGATCAGATACCTTGGAGAGTTATATTTCAAGGCCAGCATCGAACACACGTCCGCCAGAATGCAGCCAAGGTCATGGAGGATGGGCCAGAGGACGAGAGCCGCCTTGACAAGAATTCACAATCCAGGTTCTTGTTGAGTAAACACATGGTGACATGGTTAAGCGAAATTTGTGCAATACGAAGGCCTCGACAATTCTTAAGACATTGGGTCGGATCGGCTCATCGATCCGCTAGGGAGATGCTGCAAGAGTAAGGATAGCAACAAAATGCAGCATAGCTTAAGGCGTGTATAAGAACAACGTAGGCTGTGTACAGATACGATGCTCAATAGTGTTTGACCATCATTGTATCCTTGGTCAACCTTCGCAGCCGCAGAGCGGCAGAGTACCTCTAAGGTCGTATTTTGACTTTGTGGGGAGGATCGTCACAGAAGCTCGTGTTCTCTGAGACATCTCCTCAGTGAGGATGCAAAATGATACATGAAAGGTAAGGTTCGAACACCAGATGTCCTTGGACTCTTGGATTGGGAGGCCGTAAGGAACATACGTAATAGGTTCAATATGGCTGTTGATGGGTACCTCATCTGGCTAGAAATTATGCAGATCGTTTGAAATTGTAGAACGATGCAATCTTCCATGCAATAATTGCTTTGCAGAAACGGCATTTGGCGAAATACCATGCCCACCCTGGATGACACTCAGGCGTCTCCACCAGTCGTTCCGCGCGGGGCACCAAACAGGTATCCATCATTCAATCTTTCCACTTGTAGAACCAAGAATCCGGTTTAGCAGATCGTGGAGATGTAAGGAACAGCTTAAACTTTCTCTTCGGAAGCAGAAGTATTCCTAGCACGTATTAAGAACAATCAGTTATGATACGCCGCCACCGCATGATCCAGAATCTTCTTTTGTTACTCGTAATATCCACCAAAGATGGCCTGATACCATACAGCTAGATCATTATGAGCTTAGGGATCTCGATCAGTAAGTGATTTGATGCCCAGATACTAGTGCTGTGCTAACTAAGGATACTTTCCGCCCGGTACTGGCCGTAGTACTACGGTAGGGGGCAGAAGTATTCATAGCTCAGTGCTACTGCCGCTACAGGCCGAATTTCTGTACCCCCCTGGTCAAAATATCTTACAAACGTGTTTTTTACACACACACACCCTGTCAGTATCCCAGCCGCTATTTTGCAACAATTTTGCTCATCCTGCAAATTCTGCTCATTCTACTCCGTACGCGTTCTACTAATTCTGCATGAATACTAATAAGCTTGATGATAAGACGGCAGCTGTTGTTGCTTCATAGGATGCTGTATCTTCTGACTATCTTAAGAAGCTGCTTCAGTTGATGCAGGCGAGATGGCAAGCAATTATAGATGTCAATAGAAAGTAAAAACTTGATATTGTAGCGCTAGTCCAATTTAGGCCATTTCGTAGGCATCTATACTTAATGCTGCGTAGTACGTTTTGTACAGATACTAACGTTTTCAGCAAGGGGGGGTACAAAAATTCGGCCTGTAGCGTGGTAGTAACAGCTGGTTCTGATACAGCGCCACATTGATGTTTTAGAAGCTTTTTGGACCATGTTCAAAACTGTTGGTGGCAGCAATCCCACATAACCTCTTAAGGCTTAGCAGAGTCGTTTGTTGTCAGTCCTACTAGCGCCGAGCTATGGGAACTTCTGCCCGGTACCGTAGTAGTAAATTTCCCGCCCTCCCGCATTCCGGCCCCACATTGATACCTGTCATACCCCGCATTAGGGAGTATCCCTTAAACCTTCACAAGGGTGCGCCAGCAAATTACAAAGGTCTTCCGCGGCCTTCTTCCATGAACTATAATAGGTACACGCAACATTGACTGGAGTGTAGGTTCAGATTTCTCACAAATAGATCTTGGTGTTGCCCGCGCATTGTAAGCACGTTGTTCGCCAGACGATGCTATGATGGCTTGCATGAGTGCAGAAATACTACGGTATCAGGCATAATTAATGTCACTCGCACGTTAGTAACAGCTTGTAAATGCCAAGGTAAAGCGCCACAAATCCGTTGATTAGGACTAGTCTATACAGCTCAGTCTCAAGTGTGCATTCCATTAGCATCAACGACTCCATGGCACCTTGCTGGCATTGTAAAGTGTGATGAATTAGTAGATGGCGTAGATAGCATAGATGACGTAGAATAAGACAGAATCAGTAGAAGAACGCGTAGAATCAACAAGAAGGTGTATAATAGCGGCAGCGAGGTCACAGCGTTATGGGAGCTGTAAAGGAGGCGTTTTGGTACCCTATTACCAGCGCGCGGGTTACATTAATTATGCCTGATACCGTAGTACATGAGAAGCCTCCTCTTAGCTTTATGGATTCTCGAGCAGATTGGAGTTATCCTTGGCTAGCATGACCTTGGTGATCCCGGCCATGGAACGTGTTCGGCATCTGCCGTAATGTAGGCCACCAAATAGCTTTCAGGGGCACTGCACACTTAGAATTGGTGCAAGCTGTAGAACCTTCCATCCTCAACTTCTGAGGTACGACTTCCGAACAGCTTTTTGTGACGAGAGTCCGCTCGAGGTTTTTGCCAGCCTCGATGTTGTCGGGACCATTATATCAACACTGCTCTTTTTCTCTTGTGAATGTCGGTAGGTAGGCAGATCGCTACTGATCGCTGGTCGAGATTCTGTGGCTGGCTGCTCTAGTACGTCAACTTCTGGACTAGCGTATGCGTTTGGTGGCCTTGGTCTCGCTAATTCTGAGTCTCGTGTCCATTTACAGCCCACATGTCAACGGGGTCGGTAGCACCCTGGCATCTGGTCGTACAGATCCAAAATTGAGCTGAGTGGGAACGCCGATAGTGAAAGGCTGGGAATCCGCTTCACGAGAAATTCCCACCTGAGGATGGCAGAAAGTGCCAATAAGTTGTCTGCAGCCTGCACGGGGGCTAAAGAACGTGCGACATGTACTCCATCCTTTCCTGCCATATTCTCATTGGCAAGCACTGATGGCCGCGAGGAAAATCACGGACCTTATGGTAGAAACATGCATAGGGTGAGAGAGAGAGACCTAGAGACAAATCGTGCTGATAGAAGCGCAAACAATGGCATCTTAGCTTCTGGTAAAAGGGACAAACCTTTCGCAAAAACGATTCTGTAACGAGATTGAGTAGTTGAAGAGGCTGAGCATGTAATCAAGGTGAGTGGAGCCCTCCTTGAGAGCTATCATTGACTCTTTGGTTGCCTCTCTTTGTATCTTTGCAGTGTTACCTGGTGAAATGAGTGGAGAGATTTCAGTGGTAGAAGACTCAGTCTTCACCAAGTCTAAGTCTTGATTGTGAGAAGAGATGCTCTTGGCGTCTTTTCCACGTGATGAAGGTGCATCACGTGCAGCGAGTCCCGGTGGACCCATGACTTCAATTCGACTCGGGGCGATACGCCGGGAGCATCATAACCTCAATTGCTATTGCAAGAGCAGAGTCCATTATACCGCTCAGGCGACCATCCAGCGACTCTTGTCAACCATCATGACAAAACGGAAACGTACTCCATCCCCATCTCCTCCACCCCGCAAACGCATCATATTCGAGGTACCTCTGTCGCTATGGCGGTTTCAAGCAATAGCGCGGGAACTTGCTCGTCAGTCTGAAGTCCCAGTAGAGCAGATCAAAGAGCCCAGCGACCCGAATTCAGGCGACCTGCAGCGTGTTGTTCCCGGCGCGCCACACTTCGACGCGCAAACCTTCCAAACCAATTCATTGCGCTTCTCTCCGTATTCGCATCAATCGTTCCTACCGTCGCAACCATGGCCACAGACTGTCAAGCCAACGTCGGGCTCTTTGGCTTCCAATCCGGATGTGGGAGCCTCGGCGGCGCATGTCATGTCAAGCAGCGAAGGAGCACCACCACCGCAGGATGGACATAATCGGCAGGTCTCGACAGGACCAGATGATCAACTCTTCGACGAGCTGAACGATGCGCTGCACGCAGAAGAGGGAGACAATGCACACGACCCAGCTTCGCAATCACAATACCTCACAGGCGACAACCGAATAACCTTCGATCCGCGCCTGCAGAGTGATTGGAATGGCATGCGCCAGGAGCCATATCAACCATTTACCCAGAACTACCCAGCAATAAATCCACAAATGACCATCGCCGCCTCACAACCCGCCTTCCCATCCGCATTAGCTCATCACCCGCCTCGCAACAGCTCGAACAACTTCCTCCCAAACTCCACCGCACACCCTGGCCCAGCAACGTTCTGCAACCCCAAACCACCCCCTCCCCCTGCTCCGCCTCAAAACAGTGCACAAGCCAAGCCGAGGATGCCAGGCTACTACAAGAGCAGCCTGAAACTATGGTCGCAGGAAGGCCGGAACGCGGCTCCTCCACCACCACCACCTCCTCCTACCATTCCTCCCTCAGCTCAGGCTACGCATAACTTCGGAGCTATGAATGGTCCCTATCCACACCTGTCTTATCCTGCAACACCTACATATCCTCCACCACAGCCGCTGGCTTCGACCCCGGTAAACGCCTTCACCAATTACGGCAGTACGAGATAATACGTGTATGTCACTTGAGGAGGTGTCAGACGACAAGGCCACCATAACGAAATATGCGATAAGTGCAGCCTATAATTGAGCAAACCTATTTATTTTACTTACGATTTCCCGTAATAGCGCGAGACGTTTTGGGGCGACTGAAGGAGGAGGAGGGGAGGGTACACAGGCCTCCCGGTGCCGTGAATGAGGCTGTACATAATGTGGGCAGGCATTTGCATGGGCTGCTGTTCAACTCGTTAGAGAAACAGAGTCGCGACGTATACGTATTCCCAAGGCGTAGGTAAGTCGGGTTGGTCATGCTTGCTACGGGCCAGGAGAAGAGCCCGGCGATCGCTTCAGATATGTATATTTTGTGTATAATTGCCGGATGAAATACCAACATATTTTCCATTCCTCGCTCGCGACCAAAAACCCCCCCAACTAATCCCGAGACGGAGATCATCTCGACTTCTTGGCCTCCCTCTGACTGGCCCTCCTCCCCACCGGCGCCGCCTCTCCTCCTCCTCGCGGATCTTAACCTTCTCCTTCTCCTCCGCGCGCTCCGCATACCACTGCCCCGCCTGCAGGATCAACACCCCCACCAACACCAGCGCCAGGATGGTATTGCTCGCACTCAGCACCTTCAGGTTGTCCTCGCGCCCGACCACGCTTTCGCGCGGATCGTCATCACGGCCCGCACGGCTCACGTTCTCCAGCTCGCTTCCATACGTCCCCTGCGTCGCGATGCGGAGCCCCTTGACGATGTTGGCGACGTAGACGACGATGCCGCACATGTAGAGGACGAGACTGCCGCCGTCGAAGAGCATGTTGGACTCGGACGGTCTGTAGAGCTTGGTGATGAGCCCCGCGAGCCCGACGAAGATCATCGTGTGCAGGATCCGCACGATGAGGGCCGGGGAGGCGTGGAGCAGGCGGAGGTGCGCCTCGGTTTGGGGGAGGTGGGCAGGATGCCGAGGAAGAAGGCGGTTGCTGCGTGGGACATGTTAATCTTGGGTCTTGGGGAGAGATGGGACCAGGGTGGGTTGGGGCTATGCAGAGAGGGACCTCGACTTACGGCAGACGATAAGGAAGGTTGCGAAGGCGAGGGTGGGCATGATGCGTGACGTGGGATGATATGCTTTGGTGGAGCTACTCGATAGAAGGTGTTGGAGGCTCAAGAACAGTCAATCACCACGTCGCCGAGGTTGATGACCAAAAGATCCTGAGTTTATTTCTAGAAAATAGATTGCGCACATTCGTACGTGCTTGTTGCGCCAGTTATGACGCGCTTGAGTCAAGCTGCCAGCTAACAAGACTGGGATCAAAATATGTCTGCCCTGGTGAAGGACTTAGGTCGTCGTAATTGTCGTATTCGTGCTTGACAAGATGCTGCTATTCAAGACTAGTAGGTTCAGATCATCGGCGTAGAGATGTTCCAAAAGGTTGTGCTCGCCAGATCAACTGAAAGGTCGAAGGGGCTTGGAGATGAGGAGGAAGAGGATTACTATGGATGAGAGCCTAATAGGTCATGCTCGGAACAATGATGCGGCTCAGGGTCAATGCAATGGATGGTGTGCCAACGAAGATCAGCATTCGCTTAGGCTCCACTTGATCACGTAACAAGCCCATCGTCCTCGGACATATATTTACCAATCAGTAACGTCCTACTTGGACATGCTGCTATAGTCGCCAGAGAAGCAAAATTCCCTCCCTTAAATGTCCATACCACAGATGGCCGGCCCTAGTATCATATCTTTCACAAACCACAACGCCCAACCGGTGTCGCCACCGCTATTTAGAACCAATCATCGTCGATATCGTGGTAGATTGTCACCGGCTACATGATCGTTACAAAGTGTATGTGCATTGTATTCGTCTTCTTCTGTCACGACTGGTGCAGTTGCCGCATCGACTGCCACAGAAGGCCCAGCAGTGCCCTCGTCATCATCATCCGCTGGAGGCGCACTGGCTTCTGTCATCAAACGCTGCCGCTCAAGCTCTTGCTTGTCGTCTGCCGTAGGATCATCGTGGTATCCGTTGACTGCTGGAGGAGAATTGAAGTAGGAAGGTACTATGGTATCGACCGATCGAGCTGAAGTTGCCGAAGGGGTAACACGTTCCGGATATGATTGTTCCAAGCCATCGTGCACACCGTAATCTTCATACAGACCGTCTTCCTCAGGTATGAAGGGAGCCGAGGGAGCTGCGGCGTCTCCAGCCGCAGAAAAACCGCCCTCTTCTGGAGGTTGGCTAGGGAGTAGTAATGCCTCCTGCCGCCTTAACCTGGTCTTCTCGTCCACTTCCTCCTCGGGTTCCGGAGGCGGAACAAATCGCGGGACAGGCAGCTGAGTCTCTGTCCAATGTCCCTGGTCTTCGTTCCATCCACCGTAGCCATGTTGCTCACTGTAGTATCCATTCTCCATATGATATTCTGCCTCGGCCGGAGACGGGTCTGTTTCGGCCATATTGCTTGACCGTTGGCTCTCTGCTCGTCTCACGCCGTTCCACTTCTTGGAAGCTCTTGTGGAGTCTGTCGATCCTATGGTGATCTCAAACAGGCAGACCACAATGTTCTTCCCCCGTCTCAGCTGCGCCGTGTCAAGAATGTTATCTGCCCAGTGTGAGGTCACTTGAAGCCCAGAATCACCATTGGTGCTGATGAAACTCTGTGGTGGCGAAGTTAACGAAATTCGTGGAAGAAACCTTGATTCACCCAATTTTCCACACAAGTCTATCACGATCTCGATGTAATATTTGAACTCGATCATGCTACCGGGAACATTGGCCATGGTAGGAAACGCATCTTCAGGAATTCTGATTGATGCCCTAACGTTAGCTGTCAACGTGTGGGGATTGACGACCATCATTGCGGAAGTCTGGCATAAGTCCTTGCGAAATATACTACTTGGTGAGCTATTAGAGAAATGCAGCCCGCCAAGCCCAGTTCTGGACTTCGGATAAACATCCTCATACTCAGATCTTTTACCCTTGTTTCTTGATGTGAGCGGGATGGGAGGATGCATGTCGATTCTTCCCTGTCGGTACAAGGTCACAATTACAAGGCCGCGCACGTTCGGCTTGGTGTGGTTGATAGTGATCTTCAGGGGAATAGTATCCCCAGGCAGCGCTCCGGCTTTCAGAAGTTCGGTGCTGGCAGTGATGGCTTTCCCGGACATGGATGTGCTGCTGCTTTTTGTCTCACTGTTTCCAAGACTTGCACCTGTAGTCGGTGGAGAGTCATTCACAATCTGGAAGCTTTGCGAGCTAGTAGTAATGGCGCTTGAAGAGCTCAGATCGCTGGGGGCCGGACTGAGTGGAGGTCGATCTACTGATGAAGGATCTGAGAGCTGAGTGTGCTCTGTTTCTGTGCGTTTCATTGCACGAGAAGAGGAGGATTCTCGGACCTTATCCAGAGATGTCTGCTTGACCCTGGCTTTGACTCTACTTCGTTTGCTTATCGGTTCTAGAGAGATTGTTCGAGGTGTTGGGAGAGGAATGTGGCCTACATCTATTGAGTCTTGAAAAAATACTCGGCGATCGCAAGAAAGCGTTGGCGCTATAGTTGTTGGCCGTGTCAAGGTTGCCGTAACGAAATAGGAGACGGTGCCTCGCTCAAACTAGATCATCACTGTCAATACAAGGCTGCTTGCGAGAAAATAAACCCACTTACGTCAATGCTGCTGGGTAGTCCTCCAGGTGGAAAATCCAGTTCAAACTTAAACTTATATACTCCTTTCTTCAGAAGTCCTTCGCCACATAGAACAGCCTCATCTTCGAAAAGCGAAGCGAAGCCGTTGCCGAGGTATTCGACACCTCGTCTTCCACGGCCTGGTCCAAGGAAGCCGGACGCTGCTAAGCCATCGCCAGGCACAACCTGATTTTTGTAAACCCGCGCATGGCCGTGTAGACAGACGACCAAATGGGTGATTGCAAGAGGTTTCGCAACTGTCAGAACAACGCAGCCCTTGATCGTCTCGCCTGGAAAATACGACTTCCACGGATTATCCGGTTCGACATAGAATTCGGCGATATTGCGGTTTCGGTTGGCTAAGGGGGCAGTGAAACGCGATAAGATAGAACTTCGTCGCGAGATAGAGGACGCAGGGCTTGAAAATAGTGTGTCGAGAGGCATATCCGTCACGTTGTAAAGCTGTGTTCCATCCTTACCCCGAACGCTTCGGACGGAACCTGTACGGAGCCGATCGCTGGTACCACAACGGAACGCTCAAGTAGAATGTTTTGTTGGCAGAGGCTAACTTGTGCGTGATATGTATCAAACGTTCCTGCGCAATCATTTTATCTGTCAGCCAATATGCTACCGAGGGTGCCAATTGAGATAGTGGCAGTGCATGACGCGCGTTGTCACTCAGAAGCACAAGATGAGGGGTTCGACACATTGCAAGGACTCGTGCAAAACAAGTGCAGAACAAAACAAGTAACTGTCAGAATGACACAGATTTTTGAGACACATCTCTTGATCCATCGCAGATCATTTCATAGAGCATTCAATTGCGTGGAGGTGGAAATTGAACGTCTTCTAGTACCTACCAAAATATCCACCCGGGTCTTGTCCGGATGAGCGCAGTTTTGGATCGGATCAGCCCAGGTTTGCCAGCAAGCAGGACACCGGAGGCTTCGTCAAAAGCACTGACCGGCAAAAATCAACTATTGAGAAGAGATGGTGGCACGATAAAGGAAGATTCGTAGGCCAAGCTTTCATCTACAGAGAGCGACAGGAGGGACCGCAGAGATGGGAAAGCTTGGGGGCTTGGAGGTCTTGGGGGTTCATGGCGAGTCTTGTTGTGGTACAATGTGGGGCGAAGGTTGGCCAAATGAGTTGGGCACTGTGACATATTTTACTAAACATGGGAAATAGCCACGTTTGGGGGCGCCGATTGTCCCTTCCGCCCCCCCTCACTTAACTGATGACGGTTAAGGCGATGTCCGCCAAAAGCTTCTTCGAATAAGCTTTCTCTCTCACGTTCAGGTGTAGGGCCTTGGCGCTGCAGGGCAGTTCTCTTCAGATTACCACTCCGTATATAGCACAGCCATTGCGATATACGTCAGTTCATACTACCCCTTGAATGCATGGAACACCTGTCCTGCAGAATCGACGCTATGCCTCGAAGGCAGCACGTTACGCATGTCAATCTCTGACGCTTCCCCTTCAACATAGAGCGCACCATGGCATTCTCTCCGAACCGCGTCGCATTGGATAAAAGTGCTTGATACGTCAACTCGGCGGCCGCCCCTGATTTCCTTTTCTCGGGCAACTTGCATGGTCGCTGCAAAGCTGTGTGCTGCTCTCGATCGTGGAAAACCTCTGTCCTGTATGTCGTCAGCCATGTGTCCAGGTATTTCTTCTCACTAAGTTCTTGGTCATCCAAGTCCCTCCACGAAATTTCTTCTTTTAGCTATCTACTCTCAACTAGGAGGCACCATTACTACTTTGCGCTTGCTAGTCTCTTCTAAGGCAGATTTGGTTTGTTGAGGAGAGTCGAATTCTAGTTAATAAGTTTTCTCACATTGAGGAGAAATTGATGGGAAATGTGCGGAAGCAGAACGGGGGTCAATGAGATAAGCAATTGTGTCTCTCCCAAACTTTTCTATGGAAGAATGAAGCGTAACTAGTCCGGAGCCGAGTGGGTCACGATCCGTGGGAAGCCTCCAGAGCTTTTTTGTCAAGCTCCTTTGGAATATCTCCCCGCTACAGAATTGACTTTCAGGAAGATCAGGCCTGGAAGACAAAGCAAGGTGTCTGACTGAACTTGAGCCTACGCCCTCAGGTCTGAGGGCACTATAGAATGTCGAGATAGAGGTTCAAAATCCTGGTAATCACATCGTTTCGTTATCTCGAGCTCGCATTCTCTTTCTCTGGCGCATTCCATCATCATAAGACTCGTCGCTTGATTCTTCACTCACATATGGCGGCGTTTCGACTCGGGGCACTCGGCCGCTAATCTGCATCTGTGTTGCTCTGCTTTCAGGTATAAAGCTGTCAAACCCTTCTGGCTCCACGAGAACCATATCTCCAGTTTTGCCTGGTACTTGAACGGCGGCCTCTTCCAAAAGTATTCCCAGGGCAATGAGAGCTGTCTCATCTAGACTCTTAAAGTCACGTTTACCCCGTCCTTCTGCGTTGATTCCGTAAAAGTCCGATGCATATAAATGGCTTGCCTTGAGAAGCTCGGAGTCTGGCAATTTCTGCTCGGGCCTTAGATTTTCATCGGCAAAGTAGACATCTGCCCTGCCTTCTGTTGGAGCCGTTGCTCGACGCAAGAGGACTTCTAGGGGCTCAAAAGCAGATTCAGTTGAAGGAAATCCATTGCGTGTCCTGATCGGCCTTGTGCTCTCATCGATAAACCCATTGCTTCCAACACGTCCTAGTCACATCAGAATTGAAGCAGTTTCTTGCGCACGATATTGCTACCTGCTACGGCATCATAAACAGTTGCCGACCGTGTAGGATTTCTCTCATTTTGCATGGTATCCTCTGATGGTGGCTGTTGTGCCTGGCTCTCATTCCGGGATCTTTTGCTCCGAGACATAATGACTAACTTAAGTTTAACCTTAGTTATCATCTTCTTCTGACTTTATTATAATTTACCATAGGATGATCCATTCCTCGAAAGAATGGTGGAGAAGAGTTTGAATTGAGGTCAATGGTATTTGGGGGACGCTTCTCATGACCAGCAGAACATCACAGAAAATCTACCTTAGACTGGCTCGGAATTTATCACACCGCATGCAATCACCCACTGCCTTAGACACACAACTTTTACAGTCCGCGCATCGTTGATGCATGAATCACTTGTTGCTGAGCCGGCGGTTGGGTTTGGTTGACCCTCACGCCTTTCAGCGTGCCCAATATCAACGATTGCTCTATGCTGTGACTCCTGAGAAGTCTGTAAAATTTGGAATACAGCGCATTCCTGGCAACCTCAATGCTCGTGGTCTTCCCAGCTCTTCCGGCCTAAGAGAACAGACCGTAGATGAGGCCGGACTGGCAGGGAAAAATGCAGTGGCCCATAACGGAGGTGTCAATGTTCTCGCTATCGATGCTCAAACGGGAAAATACCTCATATCCGGCGGTGCTGATTCCGCTGTTCGACTATGGGACCTAGAAGACTATCACCCAGATGAGTTCTACACCTACACCTCAGCAGGTTCGATTCTCCGGTCCAGTCCTGGTGCTCATACCCACGCCTTAACATCCCTTTCCGTTTATCCTTTCGATCCATTGCCCTCCACCATTCTTACAACTTCTTATGACAAGACACTTAAGCTTTTCTCTGTCGATGCCGCTCGGATTGCCCCCGTTCACACTTTTGAATTGATCGATACACCATACGCCCATACTCTGTCATCGATCGCATCCTCAGCAGCACTTATCGCAGTAGGGACAGCGCATCCAGCTGTGAAATTGCTTGATTTACGGACAGGTCTTGCTGTCCAAACACTACCTGGTCACAGTGGCGCAGTGTTTTCGGTGTGTTGGTCTCCACGTTCTGAGCATTTGCTTGCTTCAGGCTCAACTGACGGGCGCGTTCTATTCTTCGATGTGCGCCGAGCCCACAGCGCTTTTGCTTCTCTGGACAATGACGATGCCATTGGTGTTCTAAATCCGGATTATGCATCAAATTATCAGCCTCGATCAGCACTGGACTGGAACGCCAAGGCGCATAATGGCCCAGTAACAGGCGTATGTTGGGCAGATAGTGGAAGAAAGCTAATCACTTGTGGCCACGATCAGCGAATTCGCGTGTGGGACGCAGCCACTGGAAGAAATGAATTGGTGCATTTCGGTCCACGCATCAAGAATGGCCGGAATGGACAGTTCATGCCTCTGATTTCGCCAGTGGAGTGTAGCAGACCGGGAAAGGGAAGTCTCTTCTGGCCCAACGATGAAGGGAAGGGCGAGATCTTCATGATGGATATGAATGAAGGTACTACATTGAAGGTCTTACGAACGCCAGGTACAGCAAAAAGCCCGCAGAAGACTGTCAGCACGGGAAAGTTGACGAGTGGAGGAAGGATCAACTCAATCGCCTTGAGGTTCAAAGGTGACAGTGACTCAGGCCTAGAGCTTTATTCTGGGCACGGTGATGGATCAATACATTGTTGGAAGGGCTCGCCGACAGAGGACGAGGAAGTTGAAGACCAGATCCATCCCGAGGTTGAGACTGAGCAGAAACGTAAACGAAAACGAGATCTGCTTGAGGGGCTCGTGGATGGCTTGGTGAAAAAGCCTATGACTTTCATCTGAAAATGGTATAGTAATATGGTATGGTCGAACGATATATGTGGGTCCTAGTTGGGTACCGCAAAAAATGGCCGCCGATGGTCACAAGGTCTCAAGAATCTTCAGACGTCCGGCTGATATATCTTCATTCGTATCTTCCGTCATTTCTGTCTCTGTGAGTGGGGTCCTTCTTGAGGGTTTCCATGAACATCACTATTCGGGGGCAAGCAGATACCACACCCAAACCATCATCAAGATGCAATTTCTGTATAGTTGTCACCACTCGGAGCCCTTTCTTACCCTTCCTGGCGAATTTCGTATCATGATCTGGAAAGAATTGTTACCGGAGCCGCGGAGCGCAGGCCTTTTGACGAGTCTCACCCACAAAAACGGTGTCCAGGTATCCTCGCCACAAGTCGCCAATCCTATCACGAAGTCCGAAGGGAGCTGTATAGCAACCGCATGATCACCTTCCACATTTCTCCAAACCCTAAACGAGCATCCGCCAAAAGGTCCGGTGAGCATCCCAGAACCGACGTCCTCGATCCGCTGGGTTCTCTTTGGTGTCTTCGCCCTCGATACCACAAGCCGCGTAAGGCCGAGGATCAGAATATGTTATCCTGGGAGCAACTACCATACCGGAAGCTGAAAGGCGTCAACTTCGAACTACTGGCAACTGATCCAGCAAATCCTGCGGAGCTTCTGCAAGTGTGGAACGAGCTCCGAAACGGGAAGCAAATCGAAGTGAAGCTCCCATTTGAGCAGAAATACAAAATCAAATCGATGCCCTCGTCTCAGAGATATCGCTCAACGCCGTTTCAAACCAACTCTCCAATTACAAGACCGGTGAGGAAGAAGACATGGACGGCATAATTATCGTCATTTAGCAAGACATCTGGACAGTATAATTCGACCGGATTCTCAACCATCTCCCCAGCCCTAGCGCACTAGCCGCCCGTGAGGAACGCCTCCTGAACTGGTCCTCGTACTACGAAATAACCATGTGGAATCGACTCGTGTCTGATCTGGGAGAATGATAGCCTGGTGGGGCAGCGCTGTTGATGTACGAGGAGGAACACGGCGCCGCCCGTTCCTTTCGTGAACGAGTCAAGGCTGCCCCACGTGAAATGGGTCTTCGTGGATCCTGAGACTCATACTTGCTTTATGGTCGGTTAGGTGCGCTGAGTCGATGCACGATTTACATCACAAGCAAGCAAGCCAGAGTTGGACCTTCATCATCGGGCAGGAATCATGAAGATGTTTTCAGCAAGAACGTGCAATATACCCCTTTATCCTCACTTTAAAATCTATATCTATGACATCTTACCAGTATACCTGTTCTGGAGCGTTGTTCGGTGATTTTGTTCTCCTTCTTTGACTACGTAGCATCATAACCATGTCTCCATCCTGCGACTGGATCTGGATCAGTGCAGGACATGAGACGGTTGGCGATGGCAATATGCAATCTCTTAGCTCTACATTAACCCAGGAAGATGTATTTCATTGTTGGCTCTTCGGTACTACCTGCTCAGTTTGGCTTCCAATCGTGACTTCTTATGAATATGGGGCTTGTATATACCAAACTCGCAGATGTATCCAGCAGAAGGAGGAGGAAGAATAAACGCTGTTTGAGCAATGAGCAGCCTCCTGCACTCCAACGATCATATGCCTAGGCAGGATGCTTGGTCTGCTCGCCGGACTGCCGTAGCGCGCTAGTTACGAATCTTCTGAGGAAGTGTTGGTAGAAAAGCAGCAAAGTCATCTGATTCTTCGGTGTGTCACGGGTATCATGAGCAGTCAAATCCTAGTCATAGCGTGCGACGCCATCATTCATCCCACTTGTTTGGGACGAGATGTGCTCTCTTTCGAGGGATTGGTAAAGCCCACGAAATCTTGATGATCTGGTTTCGTCTCCCTCAATCGACGTCATCTTCACCCGGCGGTTTCTCATCTCCAAATTTCAGGTCCGTAGCTCTGCTGGTATTGTTTATCTTCTCCTTCACAGCCTCTTCTGCCTTCGGAGCCTCCTCATCCAACGGTGGATGATCCCTCTGCCCGATCTCATCCCTCTCATCCCCAAATAGCAGCGAAAACAGCACAACCGCGTAAATATCATCAGTTGTGCGGTTCTTGAGCACATATCTCAGTTCATGTGTCTTCTCATCCACGTATTTAATGACGTTGAGACTGAAGCCGGGTAGCTTTAGGCTGAAGTCGTTGAAATCGAGGTATGGGTTTCCGAAGTCGGATTGGTATAATCGGCCGGCTTCAAAGATGAATTTCTCGCGATTGGATTCCGTGAGGAAATGCCTCTTGCGGGCGCTAAAGTCAGGTGGGATGGAGAGCGAAGAGCGGACTTTGGCGCCTGAACCTTCGGCACCTTCTTCGACGATGGTTTCGTGAAAGGACTCTACGTTAGGGATTTTCCACGCGTCTGTGTCCTCCGTCTGTTCAGCTTCTTTGGTCGACGGGGAGTCTTCCTCTTCAGCATCACCGTTGGATCTGGACTTTTGTGGCTCGAAGATCTTTTCCCCAATCCTCAAGATGTTCCAACTGCTTAATGCGGGACCATATAGATATGGTCTGTCGGCGTACGGATCGCCTTCAAGACCAGGGTCGATGAACCATTTAACGATCTTGAATGCTTGGTTGAAGCCTGGAGGCAATCGGTCTCGTATTGGTCTGTCGAAGTTGTTGCCGAAGAGCAAGTCATTGCCTGGTATATCGACTTTGGGAATGAATGAGAACGAAATGCTGTATTGATCGGATAGGTGGAGCGGATGGGTGAAGTATGGTGAGGTGGTAGGCAATGAGGCGGGAAGGCCAGTGAACTTCTTTATTCGAACAGCGACAGATAGCAGCATATGCTCCGAGTCAAGGTGAAGGGTTTGCGGCGCATTGACAGGGACGACGACATGGGTTCTAGTATCGTAGGATAAGCCTGCTGTTACGCGTAATCTGTAATTTTGAGCATGTTTGTTCTTCATGGTAGGGCTCGGGAGTTCATCTGGCGGGTTCGAGGATGTCGGTGAGGAAGTTTCGTGAGACATGATAGAGGAGCTCACAAGACGAAGTACTCAGTAAAAGTCATCACTTGCCTCGGGCGTCGTCCTCAAGCGTCAGCTTGCTATTCTAACGTCGAAGAAGTAGAGTATCAACTACCAAAGATGACAAACAAATGGCGACCGAAAATTGGAGCTGTGACGTTGTGACGTAGTGGGAGCTAGCCTAGTCAAATTGGGGAAGACTGGGAAGACTAGGAAACAAACCCCAAAATTAGCTCATACGCAGAACCGCAATTCGAGTCGACCGTTTCTCAAGATCCTTCCAGACGTCCACCTGATTGTGATGTACCTAAATTCTGGCTCTCTCTCAGATAAGATATGTGCCAGAAAGAAAAGTGATATTCTTACGCCAAGGCAAAGGGAGCAGGAGAAAACAAATGAGGAAAAAGAATGGCTTTCTGACCCATCATTTGAGTTTATCTGGCTTATTCTTGACTACATACACGGAATTTCTAGACCAAGGTCTCACTGCGCCAACTGGAAGTCCGTCTCTCAGGAGGAGCATCTAGCTGCACGCGGCTCTATGCATTCTCGTATCCAAAGATTCATTTCTGGGCGCAGGAAGCTCCAAAATAGTACATGGAAGCAGTGGTAAGTCCAAGCACGGAACAGCTTGCGGTGTTCAGTGCGACAATTGAGCCGCATGCCGTTCCTTTTTTGCTTCTCCTAGCGAGAGACAGACCTTTTCATAGTGGAATTGTCGGGACGTACATATTTTGCAAGGGAAAAAGACATAATATGAAAATTGGAAGTTGAAGTCGGTCAGGCCAAGGAGGACGCTTGGGCATCATTGCTGTCAACCAGCTTGGCCAGCAATCAAATTTCTAGCTTCTAATGTTTGGAGTTCGAGGGCCAATTGATGCTGACGCGTGAAGGCGTGTCGTGACACTAGCGTGGCTGGACCCTGGAAAAAGCTTGGCTTTCTGCGTCATTTGTTTACAAAACTTCCCAAAGCGGTAATCAACCGCTGCTTTTATGTTCGGCCTGTTGACGAATTTTGTGTTTGCATTTGTTTATTTGCGAGTAGGAATGCCTTTTCAGCTTCAGTCTTCGGCATTCCCTTGCTCCATGAAATAATCTTTTCATTCTGCAGCAGAAAGTCGTGGATGAATCTTGGAGGAAGATCTGCCTTAAAAAGCTTAATGACAGGCAAGAAACGTCTGCCTAGATCAGTTGACTGGGAGACTGAACGAGCTCGACTGCTTCGCATATACACCACATGGTTGGAGAGTGCTCTACCCACTGCAACAGCTTCGACGATGTCTGACGACACTACCAATCTCATCGACCTCGATCAGCCCATAGCTCTCCGCCGTGGCAAGCGACGAAGCGATGCAATTTCTCCAAGCAAGCCGACAGCCACTGGCTCTGCAGTACACAACTCCGCCAACGGTGCACCTCATACCCCCGCTAGGACGAGATCTAAGAAACGAGTCCGCTTCTCTAATCCAGGGTCACTTACCGCTACGTCTTCCGCCGCAACCAGCGGCTTGACTCCATACATAGGACGTGCAAACCTTAGCACACCTCGAAGACGCGCCTCCACACCCACCGCTGCTCGGAGTGAACCATTAGAAATACAGTTCACGCCCTTCCGTGCGGTCCTTGATGGTCGAACTCAACGTCGGCTTCGCCGCAATGGCCTCAGCCAGGAGATGAACGCTTACGAATCCGAACGAAGGGACAAAGCTCAACTCGAGAAGGCACTACATGCAAAGGATCACGAATTGGAGGAACTGAAGAAACAACTCGAAGCTGCTAAACATGAAAATGCTGTTGCCAATCATTCAACAGTTGAGGAGTTGTCTTCCAGCCAGAAAATTGTTGAAGCGGAGCTCGAGGACTTGCGCCAGAGCTTCAATGAAGGAAACATGCCGGCCGGCTTTGACGACGACATGGACATCAATTGGGATGCTGTGAATGTGCATAAGGCCGTTGCTCCTCCTTGTCCTGCTAGTGATAGCGGTGACACCATTCCCATCTATGATGATGATGCAGCCGTTCTGGAGCCAAACACCCCCGACGGAAGAAATCGAATCTCTACTCATTCAGAACCGGTCGATACCACGATAGATGAGGAGATACTGGCCATGGCTCTTGATCTCGAGTCGGCCAAACAAGAAAAGAGAAAACTCTTCAACGACGTTCGAGGAGATATTCCCGCGTTGCAAGCCGTCCCGTCAAGTTCGACCAATCTAGGCGCATCTCTCCATTTCGAAGACTCTCCAGCTCCATCTACTCAAGAGCAGCAGCAACGACAACCGTCCTTCACCACATCCACAACTTCGCTCCCCTCCCCACCCAAGACCTTCTACGCCGACCTGTCTAAAACCCTCAAATCCACCATCCACCGCGCCGAAAATGCCGAACTCGTCCTTCACAACCTCGAGGCGGACCTCCGCGCCCTCGGGTTTAGTCCCTCAGACGATGACTGCTCAATCTCCTCTATCCTCGACAACATCCGCGCCCACTTTCGCCAAGCTCGCCTAGATCTCGAACGCGCCCTCCCAGGAGAGACGCCCAGCGGCCTCCACGAATCCGCACAAGTCCTCCCTGCAGCGATCTCTAAGCTGAAGCTCCTCTCCCGCCGTGTGCAAGAACGCGAAGCAGAGCTCCGAAGCATGCACGAGCAGCAGCGAACCTTGAAGGGGAATTTCGAATGCGGTCTCCGCGCCGCTGAGAAAGCGAACCAGCGGATCAAGGAGCTAGAAGAAGCAGTCGAAGAGGGCGCCGACGACTTATTAGCCATGCGCATGAAACTGCAAGCCACCGAAAAAGATGGCGTGGAAAAGACCACACCATCACCAGCCTGATCACGGCACTAGACAAATACCGCTCCGACGTCACGCGACTCGAAGGGCTAGTCATTCAACTTGAAAACGAGCAAAGCTTCAAGGTGCACGAGACGCATGACTCCACCTCCCAGCGGATCGAAGACCTGGAAGCCAAAGTTGCGGCGGAGTCCACTGGGCGGCATAAAGCGGAAGAAAGCGCGGTTCAGCGGCTGGCGAAGATCGAAGCTCTGAATGCCGTGCAGATCCAGCTCTCGACTCTGGAGGCGCAGAAGGCCGAGTCGGAACTCAAGCTCCAGCAAAGCAGCCAGGAAAAGGATCAGCAGCATGCAAACTCGCTCCAGAGTCTGAACACGCGCCTCTCGACGCTCAGCACCGCGCTCGCGACCTCGCAGGCCGAATCCACGCGTCTCAACGCCCTGGTCGGGAAACTGCAGTCGCGGCTGCAGATCTCGGAGGATGCGTCTCACCAAGTGTTCGGAGATCCGGAAGAGCTATGTCCGCGGCTGTAAGGTCAGGGGCGCGAACTGGGAGATGGAGGATGAGGACGATGTTGCCGAAGCCGGTGGCGAGGGGGAGCCGTTGACGCCGGTGAGTCTGGTCCGGTTTGTGGATGTGGAGGATGGCGAGCGTGAGGCTGGGCTTGAGAGGGAGGGGAGTGAAGATGTGAATGGCGAAGGGGAGGTGGAAGGCCGGGTTGAGGTCGAGAGGGGGCGGCGGCGGAGCAGGTCCAGCAGTGTCAAGAAATCTAACCTTTCGAGGGGGTTGGGCATCGAGATGAGTATGGGTATGGGCAGGGGTTTGGATGCGACGAAGAAAGGGGCGAGCGGTGGTGCTGGACAGAGGAGGAAGAGGAGATTGGACAGCGGGATCGGGATGGGCTGTTTGGGTGAGGAAGAAGAGGAGATGGAGACGGATACCGAGTTGATGTCTTCTGATGCTATGCTACCCTCTTCCGACCCCGATTTTGATATCCATGAGGATGCTTCCGAGGTGGCTTTGCCGTCTTCTGAGCTGGGCATGGAGGGGGCCACTGTGGTGGGACAGGAGTAGACACAAGCCTGTGGTAGGGGGCACGAGAGTGATTCTGGTCTGTTCTGCACGGTTGGAGTTTAGAAAGTAGGATATCTGGTTTTGCGTTGATCAAAGATATTGAAACAGCAAAGCATTTCACCATACACACACTCTAGCCATGGGTGGGTATATCTACATCAAGTCAAACAGCAGCTTTTTCAACCTCTTGCTCACCATGACCAACCACTACAGCCTCCTCACAATATCGTCCGTAACCTCCTTCGTCGACGCCTTCCCTCCCAAATCCGGACTTGTGAACTTTCCTTCCCTCAAACCCTCATCCACAGCATTGTAGATCACGTCGGCCGCCTCAGGCTGATTCAAGAATTCCAGCATACAACCCACGCTCCTAATCGTAGCGACCGGGTTCGCAATCCCTTTGCCCTCGATGTCCGGCGCGCTCCCATGACACGGCTCGCCCATGACGATGCCCTCGCCCACATTCGCCGAGGGCACCAATCCCAAACTGCCCACCAACGCGGCCGCGCCATCCGAGAGCAGGTCTCCATACAGATTCGGCGCGACGATGACGTCATAGTATTGAGGTTGTAGGAAGAGCTTGTAGACCATGCTGTCTACGATCTGTTCTTCGATCTTGAGCGACGAGAAGGCTGGGGCGGAGAGTGCTTCGCGGGCTGTGGAGCGGAAGAGGCCGTCGGTTTGGGAGAGGACGTTGGATTTGTGGGTGATGGTCACCATGGCTTCTTTCTGCACTGCTTGGCCATTTGCTTTTTGTCTCATCTTCTGCCTCCTGACTGCTATCTCTCCCGCAATCGTGGCTATGCGGCGGCTGGCTTGGGTGCTTATCCGCTTGATTGCTTCGGCGATCTGGCCGTCACCGTTCGGGTCGGGATATGTCCTTTCCTCTTTGACGTAGAGGTCTTCTGTGTTTTCGCGCACGATCACGAGGTCGATGGGGGATGTAGAGGGTGACTTGAAGGCTGGTGAGAGGACGGTTTTGCAGGGTCGGACGTTGGCGTAGAGGGAAAGGCGTTTGCGGAGTGCGACGATTGGGGAGGTGTAGCCGGCGACTTTGCTGGTTGGGGAGCTGTGATCCGCGTGTGTCAGTATTATCCTGACTTCATGGAAGACATGTGGGAATATCTTGTACCTCACAGCTCCAAATAGTGCACCATCACATTCTTTCTGTAATGTTTCGACCGTCTTTTCGGGCAAGGCAGTCCCGAAGGCTTTGAAATGGTCATATCCGGCGTCGAGGTCGACAAAATCAAACTTCAGACCAAGAGACGAGGGCAAAGATTCCAGAATCCTTCGACCAGCCTGGAGTATACAATCAATCAAAAGCTGCAAAAGAGGACGAAGTGCTACTCACCGGAATGACTTCCCTCCCAATTCCATCACCTGGTATCAGCCCTAAAGGGAGTCAATGAAGCTGTACAATGGCCCTGAAGAGGTAATTGACCTATTCGTAATGTTCTGGCTGCCATACTGGAGATGTGTACCAAAAGAGTGATTGGTGGATGCTGAGTCGAGGCAGCGCAACTTTTTTGGGATGCATCTGCTCCGATGTCGCGACGGGCAGGCTTCCTGAAATCTCCTGCCAAGGGATGGAAAATCTAGTCTGATACGTACTCATGGCTAGCAAGGCTCCGTGTAGCGAACTTTACCACGTCGAATCTGAAGCTGTGATGCGTGCTGGTAATCCTGCCGTCATCATGGTCCGGGTTGAACGTGGACGGCAAGCATATTTGTGCGACTGGATCCAGCCGGGGTAAACTTGTACAAGGCAGTGAGGGTACGCCCAGCAGTACCCCCAAGGACCTCTAACTATGTAATCATGTACGGGCAGAGCCGAAGACTCTTTACGTAATAGATGAACAGTAATCAGGATACATGTCTGAAATCATCAATCTCTTCCAAATGGGCACTGCCAATTTCCACACCTCTATGAAATCCTGTCCTCATATCCCTGCTCAGTCTGTCCACCTCTATCTTCCCGGCTCTTTCTTCCATTTTGTTCCTCACTCCGTACCTCTTCTCTCCTAAATCTCCTGGAACCTGATCCATTTAGCTAGTTGTGCTTTGAACTTACCGTAGAAACGTGTCATAAGACTATGATAGGCTTGGTAGTTGCACAGGGATTTATAGAGCTCAACATGCTTTCAGTCTTCTCTCAGAAGCCCAGCATTGCTTATATCGGAAAAAGAAAGAGTATTGCAGGATTGGAGCCGTGGACAAATCCAATTGTCGATTTCAAAATACGTGTCACGTGGTCTATCTTGGCATTTTTCTGTTCCAGCCGTGAAATCTTCACACAAGCGTACTGGTATCTTACCTATCAACCCAGGAAAGAATTCCTCCCAGACCCGACAAACACTGTAACCATCATTTCAATCACTTGCCCTTATCTTGTAGCCCAAGGGTTTCCATTCGACTGACAGATAACGTTCTCTGTCCAGGTATGCAGAGCCAATGTACTCCGTATACTTCAAGCTTCACGAGACTACGTACATGGTAAAGTCGTCCGTTTCTCTAAGCGTACCCACAATGCGGAATTGTACAAGGTGCCCACTAGCAAACTCATGAAAATGGTCCTCTTCACGTGTGCAATCAGTGGATAGTGCACCAACACAGGTACCCTATTTATACCTATGTTGCTCCTCATAACCTTGTGCCGTACTTACAATTACTACGGCTGCTATCATAAATCTCTGTCACACGTTGCTACTCCCATATCTTCTATCATCGTTCTCTCAGTATATCCCTTCTCGGTGCTACTGCCTGCATACCTCCTCCCTCCGTCACTTGCCAAGTGCTAGTACCTGCTACTGGCAGCATTCTACCACGCACTTCGAATCGGCAAGCAAGACATCGGCTCAGCTTCATCAATCACTCAACCGGACTAGCACATTATATCAGAACAAAAGCCAGAAGAAGAGTTCCCAATCCTCGCCAACGGAGCCTTGGTAAATATGGGTTTATCGCGTCCTCTAATTTGGAGACATCCCTGCTCAAGAACCCAGTATCACGAGCAGAGAATACTGGAGACTTGTGTGACAGCAACTGAAAGATGGTCCAAAACTGGAGGAGAAGTTTTCAGGCAAACTGGAACCAGAGGATAATTGGACATTTCTGATTAGCTTCCTCTTCATTCTTCTCCTCGGCTCTCTAAGAAACAATCAGAGTGAACAATCAGAGACAAGGCCTTACCAGCCTCGGAAAGACGAAATAATTGTAGCAGAGTGCCCGACCGGACATCCGGCCCTGAAAAGTATCCCCTGGTATACGAAGTCTAAGAGCTCGACGTCTTGTTAACAAATGACAACTCGCTCCCCACTGGGTCGAGGCTGCTCACCGAGACAAAATTCTTTTCCGGCAAAATCTACTACCCTTTCCATGCAAGCTACTGAAACACAACAAGGACATGTTTTGCGATTAACCAAAGAACGAAGGTATCTACCATTACCGACGTTTCCTTTCACATCAGAATCACTTACCATACGACCCTAATTCTGTGGCATGCTTTTCATAAGACAGAAATTAGCCAAGCTTTACGCAAGCAGCAATGGTGCTTCCATGCCATGCACGTCGCCGTCTATCTCTCGATATCGATCTCAAGAGCCATTCGAAAAAGAGCCCTTCACGCGAAATGGCCAAACACGTCTACAAGCTAAATTACTCATTAAACAGGTGTTTCAAAGTTCGGCGGCTACAACACGCAGCCTCCCATGAGAACACGAACCTGACCGCGGAATGAGTACAATCTCCATTTTGCTGTTAGTTTAATGCCCTCCCCCAAGATATCGCAGGCGTCCCAGTCAAAATCAGGATTGCAACATTCACACACACGCTTTCACGGTCCAGAAGATCCACGAAAAGAGTCTTATCTGACGGGTCGATTGCGATTGGATTGGGCCCTTCCTTGAAGACGTTTCAGAGCAGGAATCAGGAAAGTTGGAACTGGCAATCTCTAATTCTACATTTTATGATCACAATAACAGGGTAAGTGCGCGCTGGACATTGGAATCTTTATGAGAATGTCTGGTGTCACATTGTCTAGAACAACTTGCAGTGGATGACAAAGATCTGTGTACCGGGTATTGGGGGAGAAAAGGGACACATCAAACACTCCGCCAAAAGGACAGCGCTGATGGGTTTCGAACCACGCTTAATCGATGTACTCCTTACTGACTGAGGGGACAGACTGAGGACTCAGACGAACTAATACCTAATTGGTTATCAGTACTAATTATCCGTGCCCATTTAATGGTGGGTGGTTTTAATGGCGGCCTACTATTTAGTTCGGTACGGATAGTTGACTATGTAATTATCCCAGACGCTGCTCTTTTGGGTCACAGATCCCCTAGGGGGTTGCTTGGCCCAGGACTAATCACTTAGTTACCACCAAGCCGCGAAGAATCAGGGTTAGGCGCCAAACATCGTTGAGAGATGTTTGAGCACAGTTGACAGTTGAGGGGTGGGAACTACGCAGTACCAAGTATCAAGAATTCTAGCACCTAGCTCTACACTTCCGCACCGGGGGACCCAAAACTCGGGGCGGGTCGTGCCATCGGTTCCGCCTACTACTACGTACGTAGGATACTGGAGAACTCGTCGGCTAGCCCATTGGCACCTTCCCTCTTGATGTCTTCGATGGGGAGCTTAGCTTCCGTTGCTTCGACGCAACCTCTTCCTGCTCCATCCTCGATAGAATCAATTAAGGTGCTTGTTCCATTGCACGAGGATTTTCCATCATTAAACTCGCTTCAAGAAAGATTATGTCAACAGAATCTGATGAAGATTGCAACTTCTACGATGCTGCTGAATATTTACTGTCAGGTGGAGGTCAAGATCAAGGAACTTCCAAACCCTTATCCCAGGTAAACAAAGGCAAGGGTTCCTTTGGAGAACGGCAGGCAGCAAGGCGAAGTGGCCGCTGGAGTGATGTCGCGGAGCTGTTATCTAGTAAAAAAGTCGGTTATCACTATCCCTATTTCAGTCTGACAGCTGAGCAAGACTTCCGAATTCTGTGGATTGATCCGGGCCAAGACGATGAGCCACTGCGGTGCAAACTGGTGCCTGCTCACCTACCATCTGGCAGAGATATGGCTTCAATTGACTACAAGGCCCTGTCTTACTGGTGGGGAGAGGATACAGACGACAAACAAGAATCCATCGAAGTGATCTTCCCTATTAAAACTGTGTCCAACTTTATTGGCAACTCAGCCGATGAGATCACATTCAAAATCGGATCCAATCTACTGGCGGCATTGCAGCGCATTCGCCAGCCAGACAAGGGAGTATCCTGCTGGATCGATGCCATTTGCATCAATCAGGAAGACAAAGAAGAAAGGTCATATCAAGTGTCTAGAATGGACGAGATTTATAGCGCTGCCTCAGAAGTTGTCATCTGGCTTGGGAAAGGGGCGAGCCACAAAGAAGAGGAAGAAACTTTCAAACATTTGGAAAACATGTTGAATCTAAAAGCCCTCGACCAGATGATAGACCGCAAGAACGCTAATGAATACATGAGAAAATGGGCGCTCATTGTGAAAATGATGAGAAAGGAGTGGTTCAGCCGCAGATGGGTCATCCAGGAACTCGCTCTCGCAAGGAAAGCAACGGTCTATTTCGGTTCAGCCAAACTAGATTGGCAACCGTTCGCACAAGCTGTTGCTTTATTCGACAGAATCAGGCAGGGACTACCAGGCGCCTACTTAGACATCCGAGATGTTCGTCGTCAGGGGGCCACTGTTCTCGTTGACCTCACTACCAATCTTTTTCGGAAGTCGCAAGATGGCAGAATCTTGCAGAGAAGATGGACACTTGAAGCACTTGTGTCGACTCTTCTGCCATTCGAGTCGAAAGATCCTCGAGACATTATCTTCGCGCTTCTCTCTATAGCCAAGGACACCTATCGACCCAACAACGCAACCATGAAAGATAGTGATGTTAGGCTAAGCAATCACATGGGCGATATCTTCGAAGCACAGACCTATCCTCGACTTCGGGATCTCAAGCAGGAAGAGGCTGTTAAGGTTTTTGATACAACATCTAGAGTGGCGCTTGTCAACAGTGGGTCGTTACAGATAAGTACCGTAGCGGAGGGTAAGTCAACCTCTAAATTCCCGTGTCTTAACAAATTTGATCTGAGTGCCTATGGGCGATGTCTAGTGCTCGCAGAAGAGGAACCTCTCATGTTTGAAGGGACACAAGCAGGGCCGTTGAGCGTCGAGGCGAGGGTAGATGTCGACAATATTAGGGCTAGAGAACCCCGGTCTGGTTATGGCACAAAGTATGTGGGCCTCGGAGTCTCAATGAAGACAAATTATTTGGACGAGCGTATATGGCCACTGTACGAGAAAACCATTTTAGACGTTTACACCAACTTTATCAGCTACTGCATTTCCAGCTCCCACTCCTTGGACGTCCTCTGCCGGAATTGGGTACCTCCGCAGAAATATTGGTCTCAAAGGGAGCGATACGAAGATTTAAAGAACGATGTGTCTGGAGAACATCGGGAAAAACTGCCGTCGTGGCTGCCATCCATTGAAAAGTCATCCCATGGCAACCTTACTAGCTTAGTTGGCATTCCAAATACCCAGAGCCGCTCTTACTATTTCGCCTCGGCTGATCTCCTACCGCAGGTCAATTTCGGGTTAGGGGAGGGAGAAGGAGTCAAGTCGTCGGCGTAGGCCCACAGAAGTCAAAAGATCTTGTCCCTGGCTCTCCCGCCGATGCCGAGGTAGCCACAACAGCTAGTGGTAGCACATCAAAGAAGAATCAAGAGCAAACCGACTCCACTCGTTCCAAAAAGCATGTGAATGCGTGAACAGGATCCACCGCGACAGCGAAGTCTCCTCTTCGAAGTACAATGGCATCTTGTCGGTAAAAGGCATCAAGGTGGGAACCATTGAAATATGCACTCTTGAAGCTTTTGCAGGTATGATTCACGAGACCGCCTTCGAGATGTTCGGATGGAATCGGGATGAGAAGAAACTCAAGCATTTCGAAGAGTTCTGGCGCACGCTTGTCGCCGACCGTGGTCCTGGAGGCATCCCTGTTCCCGCCTGATACAAGCAAGCTTGTCTGGAGAGCCTCACATATTACGATCCACCCGTAGGGGTGTTTTTGGTCAGTGAGCTAGCAGGCGTTCTCCAGCATCATAACAGAGTTCCTGGAAAGAGTAAAGGCGGTAATCTGGGGAAGGAAATTTATTGAAATACGGGACGAGAACGCTTCAACCTCCCACATGTACTTTGGGTTGGCTCCAGCGGAAGCTGAGAAGGGAGACATCGTATGCTTGCTCTTTGGCTGCAGCGTCCCAGTTGTTCTCAGGGACTCTGGAAACGGCTACCATGAATTCATTGGCGAGTGTTATATCCATGGTATCATGGATGGAGAAATAGTTCCCAGGCGAGGAGGAGCTGGCGTCAACCCAGAAGTCCCCAGCTCTACATACTTTCATCTCCAATAGACTCATCCACCTTTTCAATCGGCTTTAGAGGCCCAAACGCTCACCAGCGATGGAATGAATGAATGAATGAATGCCATGTCTCAACCTTTGACTATCAATTTCAAATGACTGTAAAATCAATACGATGGATGCAGTGTCCCCCATTTGCAGCGATGACTCATTAACAGCAACAGGATCGTGTATCCCATGCGGGCCTGATTATCTCGATCGTTAGTTTAGAAAAAGATTCTTGAGAATGAGCAACGTCATAATGTTGAGCTGAATGGCATTAATGTCCCAATTCAGGCGGGTAGACACCTCAACGTAGGCTACGACCATCCTCAACCACGGTGTGGCCGTCTAGCTTCTCGTAGGGGCGGAATGGCTTTTGCGCTCCCCTTTGGGCTGCGGATCTCATTCATGGCTGGTTGGGAAAAGAGGTCTGGGTTCACCATTCTCTATGGAAGAGTCGAAGAGGTATGCGACATGGGTAATGGTTTAGCATTTTCTTTCCTTGAAAAGGGGAAGCATCTCCGATGGTTTATGCATGTCCATTGGATCATACCTGTACCCGATGGTGTCTCCTCACAACCTCGCCCGCAGCGACTGGTCCTGGTCTTCGGCATGGGCGGCAGTGGAGTTCCATCGAGTCATAATAATAATTCAGTGTCTCCATCAAATCAAATCAGTCAATCAAAGCAAATCAAATGCTTGGCAAATCAAATCAAATCCGGGGTCCCATCAAAGCAAATCAAGATTTTGAGATTTGACAAGTTAGTCAAATTGAAGTCTTGATAGCATTTGATACGGCTGGGCGGGTAGAGGTAAGAGCTATCGCGAGGCGATTCCTTGGACCTTGGAACTTTGAGGTATGGAAAGACACGTCAAGTTGACAGGGCCAGGACGTCTGCCAGCTGCAGCAATTGAAGGACATTTCGTACGGACCAGAAGAAGCGGCTCCTTACCTAGGTCAAGTGTAGAGATTCTGCACAACAGAGACAGAATTAATCCGAACAACATAAACTCTATTACTCCTAATGCTCCTCGCTAAATACTACTACTGGTCACTATGAGAGTAGCACGGCTGTGACTTTGGTGAAGGTGACTTAAGATCAATAGCCTGCGCCAACGTCAATCCCTGGATGCAATGAACAAAATAGATTAAGCGCCAGACACCTCGAGAGCATCGGTATGGGAGCTGACTGTGTGTTTCATATCATCCGCCGCGGAAGGGGTACCGTTGAGTGGTTGTGGTTCAGTCTCGCCAGTCCCATTGGACCTGGCCTGTTCTACCTCTGCTGCTGAATGTTCAGCATTCGCCGCAGGAGTGATATCATTTAATGGTCCAGGTTCAGCATTGCTAGTACCATTCATTTCGGGCTGTTTTGCCTCAGATGCAGCTGACGAAGGATCGATTTCCTGCCCTCCCTGATGGCTGTTCTCTTTGTCTTCGTCCGATATCGTCATACTTATCCGTGCTTTACCCTTGGCCGCCTGCGCAGGTGCCGCTCGCTTAGCCTGTGGAGGGCTGCTAGGTGCTACCTTTTCGTGGGCTTTTTGAGCACTGCTAGTGGTTGGGCGCATCATTCTGGCCAAGAAGCCCTCACCATGCGCCTTCTTCGCTGCGCTGGTCCCTGACTGTGCCTTGCCGGGCCCATTGGCTTGAGAAGAAAGAGATGACCTTGCAGGTTTCTTAATTACTGGAGCAGTAGAAGCAGCTATCTTCGCCGGTGGGGGGTCCCGTCTAGTGACCGTGGGCTTCCGACCAAGAGTTGTAGGATTGCCGCTTTTGGCAGCAGAAGCTGCTGTAGGGGCCGTAAGGGAAGCAGATACTCTGGTAGATCTTGATCTGGCTTCAGGTGATGATGGTTTGGCATCCTTCTGCGATCCGTTCGTTTTGGGCGAAGTGGGAGCTTGACGAGCGGCAGCCGTCCCCTGTAGACTCAAGGCAGTGGATCTCGGCTCTTTTGGTGACGTAGGAGGCATCTTCGCTCGATCGGACGTGGAAACGTTCTTCGCAGACTCAGCCACGGCCATGGGCTTGGCACCAGAGCCTCGGGTCATAGGCTTTCCCATCCTAGGTGACAATACCGGTCTTGGTGCTCGAGGAGAGCGAGGAGAGGTAGGAGTCTTCGGAGAGGGTTTCGTGGGCGGAACTCGTCTGGTTGGAGGCGGTTTGATGGGCTTTGTATCCTTAGTAGTGTTGAGTTTGGTTGGGGGAGGTGGGTGATTGTGGTTCGAAGACACTGCATCTTTGATCCTGCTGCCAATAGTCGACTTGGGTAGCGACCCAGGACTTGGGTTAGCATTTGGCCTTGTCGAAGGAGAACCCGTCCTCTGTGGTGTAGGAGACTTCGGAAGCTCTCTTGCGCCAGTCGCTTGCTCTTTGGATGGTGGAGAAGCTTCGAAATCAGATCCTTTCAAGATACCACCGAGACCACCAGGTGTAGAATTTTCTGCAATTGACTGCAGCATTTTGGATTCCGAGCTGTCATGTACGCTGTTCGGTTGCGGAGCCAAGTCCGATGTATTATCAGCCCCGTTGGATGTGTTGCCAGCCCCGTCCGATGTCTTGTCAGCCGAGTTTGATGTATAAGCAGCCCCGTTCGATGTCTTGTCAGCCCCGTCCGATGTCTTGTCAGCCGAGTTTGATGTATTAGCAGCCCCGTTCGATGTATCGTCAGCCCCGTTCGCCAAAGAATCTTTATCGGGTTCTTGCTTGATGTCGGCCATGGTAGTAACGTCGCTGATCTTTCTCAAACCCCAGTGTTGTCCTTCTTCACTATCACCAGGTCTCTCGACAGCAATAAATGTGGCCCGTACGTTACTGACGGGTCTGCTGTGAAGTGATGTCTCTGAATGAGCAGGTGACCGGCCTCGACTTGGCGGAGAAGCAGATTGATCCTCCGACGGTTTGTTTTCGAATATTGCACGAAGGTTCCGGACTCCTCCAGTGCCTGAAGTGCCGCTAGGGGACATGTCTGGTGATGAAGACATAGACATAGATTAGCAGAGAACTTATTGCCTAGATAGAGATGAGGAGGCAGTTCCAACAACAAAATACTGCAGCGCGGTGGGCAAAATCTCAATTCTGATCCATTGGGCCCAGCGGTATAGGCTCAAGGTTGTGCAAACAGGAAATGGTGGAACTGTTCTGGAGGACGGAAGACCAGCCAGGGGCAGTTGGGCCCAGTACCACCGAGACAAGGAAAGTGTTCCATATACACCTCTAACAGCAGAGAAAACACACTTACACGAGAAGACTGATTCACCGGAAATCGAATAACAGGACAACGTGCTGCAGCCAGGCGGCTTCAATATTACAGTGGTGCATGCAACAGACAAAATTGCAGGTTAGTAACTGCATCTACGCGTGGGGCTAGGCTAGCTGTTTATCTCCTTTTCCAGAAACGGATAGCAACGTGTCTTGTTCGACATTTATTGGAAGAATTTTCAAACATTGTCTCATCTAAAACTCTTGAACTTCTCCTTTTCGATAATACCGGAAGGATGTCTTCGCGACTACGCGCCACCGCTATGCAAAGATATTCCAGTCAATGTCGTTCGATCTAGAAGACTTCATCACTGATCCTCCCTGGTGACGATTCTGCTGCTACAACTGTCGCCAGCTCCCTCGTTGCAGGTTGGCCTTGTCCAGTTTTTTCTTTGTCCACAAAGCAACCTAGGCCAGCAAAAGCTCGGAGCAGACTTTCATCGTAATATGCCTGGAAATCGAAACCTCCGGCTCTAGTGCGGGTGTCATTCTTTGCTTTCGTAAGACGCATCGAAGGATAATCAGCCCGAAGCTCATAATAGTCTCTGGTGGTTGCCATGCCCATGAAAGGGTCATAGACCTTTTCTGGAGATGGTGCGCGAAGTTTCCTGAGCCCTTTGACAAGCCCAGATGGATCTGAAACTGGACCATCATCATGAGTAACTTCCATTGCACCAGCTTTGACGTCCCTACATCCAGCAGCTAGTCCTAATGTATGTGACTTTCCAGCAGTCAGTGTATGAAATTGATCGTCCTCGTACGTTTGTTGAGCGGCCTGACGCCTCAAATTTGCTTGCTCTTTCTGGAGTATTTGACAGCTTTCGAATTGCGCAGCTGCATTGCGCTCGAGAACGGCGTTTGCCTTGATGATATCTGCGTTCGCCTCTTTGTATTTGTTGAGTGTCGCTTCCGTCTTCTTGACGTCGGTTTTCAGAACTAGGTTCATGATCAACTCCTCTCTCTGTTCTAGGAAATCGTCCCAAGCACGTTTCGAGTAGAACTCCTCTTCACGACGGTTGAGACTGCGAAGTCAGCATTGAATTATAATAAATGCAATGGCACGAGCCGTACATAGCCATGACTCTCTTGCGGATGTCAACTTCTCTCTCTATAGCTAGGTCTTCAAACGTTTGTACTCGGTAGTCGCCTCGTCGCGGTATGACACCTCGGGCGGCGAATGTGCATCCTGCAATAGGACATCTCTTCTGGGTAGAAGTGATGCGGTCCACGCATCCTTCGCAAATGCGGTGATAGCATTTGGTATTTATTTTGAAGCGTAGATTCTTCTGGAGATATGTGGAATTCTTGCAAACAGGGCAAATGTCTTCGTCATTCATGGCGTTAGCAACATTCTCGCCACGGAGGGACATGGAGGCGAAGCGGTGTTTGAGAATCTCACCATCTGCCTCGCTTGCGATGTGGCCATTTTGCATGCCGGACATGAGCATGAAGAAATGAATGGGTGCAGTGTGTCCAGAAGGACGGCGGCCTCACACTGCTGACTAATTCAGGCTCCCACCACCACAAACCTTATTTCCTCGCCAAACAGATGTTTCACAAACCAAAGTCACTTCTCGCTCATGGATGACTCGGGCCTTGCAGAGATCGAGCGACAACGTAAAGAGCTCGAAGTAAACATCAATAAGCTTCGAAAAGCTCTGCAGCATTGGCAGACCTGCGAGATTGAATACGAAGGACTGAGAGAGGAAATCGCCAGCCTCCCAGACGGAAGCAATACCAATGATGTGCTGGCGATTGCAAGAGACTTTGGAGCAGAGCTTGTGGATGAAAGGGAGTTGCAAACCATTGTAGGTGGACAAGAGTGTCCTCGATCTCAAGATCAAATAGTCGATTTACTGGCAAAGAGAGTGGACTACGTTTCACGAAATGCTCGCACCATCGAAAAGCAGATTTCTGATGCCCAGAAGAAGAGGAATGCGATATTGCTTGCCAAGGACCCTGACTATAGAGAAGATGCTGGGCTACCACTTACAGACATTACCGAGGAGTTAGACGACGACGGCAATGTTGTTTCCAGCAAAGTCGAGACACCAGGATCTACAGCGCCGCAGCTGGTTGAAGTGTTGAAAAAGGCCGGTGTGAAGGACTTATTGGAGCAGGACGGCATTGTCACGACTACAAAAAGGCAAAGTAATGGTGCTGAATCAATGTCGAAAGGAGAAAGAGCCATGGAGTCATGTTCGAGGATTGAACCAAGTACGCGGAAGGAGCCCGCTGCTTCCGGAAATCGTCTCGAACGACAAGCCGAACAGGACTCCACATTAGACAATAGCCTGACTAGAAGCAGAGGGGATGGGAACGGAGGACACAGAAGTTCTCCTGCCTCTTCGGAAACCACCAGACAAGGCTCAAGCCAGGAGAATGGGACTCATGTTATTGCCGCGCCTGTCTCGCTTACCTCCAATGCTGGCCTAGATAAGACAGGGGAGAGCAATGACAATGAAAGGCTTACAGCTACTCATCCCGACGATACGCCTGAGGAAGCTGCGCTCCGCCGTGAAATGATCCAGTATGGATTAGGGGAAGTGGGTGCCATTGTGGCTGAATTGGACTTGGAGGAGAACGAGAGCAATGTCTCCTTCGGCAGTGACTTTGACGAGGACGATGTCGAGGACGATGTCGAGGACGAAGATGAATCAGAAAACGAGAGTGGCATGGTCAAGCATCCTGCTCTGAGCAAGAAATATCTCGAGAAGATGAGGGAGCTAGAGGAGAAGCACGGCATAAAAGGAATGCAGAACCTGGGACCCGATGCAACCAGACTACCACAGGAAGTCCGGAAGGAGCTCGAAAGACCTCCAGCTGCTGAAGCAGCACGAAAAGCTGCACTCGCTCGAGTGGCAAAATCAGACGTCAGTACGGAGCGCACTCCTGGACAGCCAGACCCAGAGCCAAAATCATCAAAGCCAAGGAAGAAAGTCGCTTTCGCTGATGACTTGGACATTGCACATGAAGCAAGCCCACAATCTCTTTTTAAAGAAGTACCTATACCCAGAACCCGGCTCGTACAACCAAGGTTGGTCGAACCCGTCAAGAACTCTATTGTGGAACGACAATCGACAATCGAGCCTCCTGACAGAACTCAACCAACCGTACAAGCCGTGGCGAGAAAGCCTTCGAGATTCATAGCCGCTCGAGAAGCCATGCCACAAACCCCCTTACTACCACCTTCTCCTACCTCCCAACTCCCACAACACCCTCTCAGGAATGCCTCAAAATCACCAATGCCACCCAACACAATTCATACGGACAGCATTATTGAGCGAGTGCCAAGCTCCAAAGCCAGCCCACCCAATCCTGACGATCTTGACGAAACAATCCATCGTCAAGAGATCGCTGGTGAGTACTACAAGATCCGTAACCGCATGATCCAACGACAAGGAGGATTCGTTGGCGACGGCGAAGCGGATAATTACGGCGAAGAGATGACGCCTCTCCCTACGATCGATGAGAATGGAAAGGAGAAGAAGATCAGTAGGTTCAAAGCTGCTAGATTGAGATGAAACAACTAGAAGAGCACTTGCGGAGCAGCTCAGTAACGTTCCATACCCCCTTCCAGCTCTCTGCAACAATATCTCCTTATGACTCCAATCTGCACCTCAGCATCCTCGCATAACCTCCTCATCTCATTTCCTACACCCTTATCTCAGCCTTCCGTCCTCTCACCCCACGCACACAATCGCCCTACATGATCATCCCCCCCTCTCTTTTCCCCATCCATCCCAGTCTAACTCCACAACCCTACCCCAGCCTAATCCCTTCTCCCCTCTCCCCTCCTCCTCCAACCACACAAACGGAACGTCACCAAATCATTACAGCAAAGGCAAAATCCACGAAATGAACAGCTAAACCTCTTTCAACCTGTCATTTCGCACTCGACGTTGAATTCCAAGATGAAGCCTCGCGCCCCCCAAAAAAGGGGCAAGGGCAAAGGGCTCTCTGACGCCATGTCCGTTCCTTCCTTCTCCCTCTCCTTACAGAGAGAAGAAAAGGAAGGATTTTCGTGGACTTGGCGATTCGTTTCACCCTTTACAGTTCAGATATTGTCAACATGATTCGTGTGTGCATGAGTGAGAGTTTCTGCTTCACATGTGATATGTTGCTGAAGGCGGTAATTTGTACGGGTAATTCAGGGTATTTATTTTTGTTCTATTGAGGGTGGCGTCGTGATCAGAGAGCCGCAGTGTGTTGGAGTGGAAGCATTTTCGCTCACGTAGATAAGCGACAATTTGTTAACGAAGTGTATTCCAACAGAAGAGGTCTAACCGAAGCCTGCCTGGCCTATCCAGGTGGAATGCTGAGTAGGGCAAGAAGCTTGTGAATTAAGAAAAGGACGGACACGAACGCCATAGCCATATTCTCAAACAATGCCCATGATACCCAGTACTCCACCATTCTCGCCCATCCGCCCTCTCTCTTCCCAAAATCTATTACTCCGTCCCTTCCACAGCATCACCCTCACTGCCATCATCACTTCCACCATCGTCCTCCTTTCCCATCCTCCCCAACACCTCCCTCAGCCCAATCACCGTAACCTCCACCTCTTCCTCACTCATCTCCAACCCACTCCCTCTCTGTCCCTCCACGACGTCATACAGCCTATAAATCATATCCGCCAACCGATCACACTGGCCCTGCAACTTCTCAATCTCGCTACTCAACCTCCCCCTCTTCGCACGACTCAGCCTCGGGTCTGTCTGCTGATACTTCGCCTGCGCCGTCGCCAACCTCGCTTTCAGATGCTCATGCTGATCGTGCAACTCTTTGAGGACGATTGCCAGGGCAACGCCGGGGGGCTGTGCAGGTCGGAGAGTCGGGTCGGGGTTATCGCTGGTTGGGGAGACGGGGGTGTCAGAGACGGGGATAGGTTTGGGGACTACGATGGTCTTTTTCTCGGCGCCGCAGTTGGCGTTGCTGTGATTGGTGGTCGTGGAGGTGAGACGGGAGCAGACGATACAGTTTACGGCGTCGTGGGGGTTGACGCTGTGGATGACGTGTTGGGCTGCGTCGGTGAGGTGGATGTTCACTTCCGGTGCTTGAGAGGTTGTTGCTCCGGCGGCTGCGGCTGTTGATGTTGGCTGGGCGATAGTGATGTCTGGGATGATGAAGCCCGAGGTCATGTTTTCGTGTTCAAAGACTGTCGTTCGACGGCGGCGGCGGGAAGTATTGGATGCGGCGGTGGAGTTTGGATCTGAGTTACGACGAGCAGTCTGTGACAGAGGACATGAGGCTTGGTCTGTAATGTCTTCGGAAATATCCTGGTCGTAAGCCTGCTGGGACATGCTCTCCTTCTCTGCTCGGACTCTAGCAAGGACTGCAGCAGCAGACTCAGAGTTGAAGTCCCGTCGGCTGACATCTTTCATGGAAGATTTTCGCGGAAGCGTTGGTTGATCTGTGGTTGTTGATGCTGCTGTCATTTCATGCAACCTATGACTGGCAGAGCTGGTCGCTCCATGATTTTCTTTGCCATGCTTGCGCTTCTTTGCGTCAACCCTCTCCGCTTCGACCATGTTTCGAAGATCCAAAAGATATTGTGGTACAGGTTGGGTGCTCAGATAGGTGACATCCTGAGTCCGCGTCTGATCTCGTGCCATATTTTGGCGGTCATTGTTACCACTTCTGGTAGTTGTCTCCTCAATCACGACTTTCTTGCTATGTCTTGCATTGCCGGAAACTGCGTATTTCTGTGAATCTGATCTATGAAGGATAGAGCTACTCTTAACAGCACTCTCGTGTCTCTGTGGTGGTGGTGCCGACATTGGTCGGATCTTGACAGACTCGGTTGGTGTCAGGGAGAATAGGTCTTCTTCCTGGCGCTCCTTGACTATCTTGGATACCTCGTTGTTGACTTGGACAGAGACATTTGTATGTCGTCGCTTCTGTGGGGAAATCTGCTCTTGATGATGTTGCTCGTGTTGACGAGATTCGAGAAATTGCGCATATCCCGTGCGCAGCTCCACATTCTCCTTGCGCAACCTGTCATTATCCACCTTCAAATCTCTTTTCTCCGCTTTGAGAACCAAATTCTTCGTTTTGAGTTCTTCAATAGTTTTCTGAAATTCCCTAGTGGCCGCCTCTAAATCCTTGACTTTCCCTTGCAGAAAGTTCAAGGATACAAAGATGGCCTTCTCATCATCAGGAATTGGCACTGTATCAATTGCTTTATGAAAAGGAGCTCGTGGTGTTTGCGCGAGAGCCGGATGGGAGGCGAGACGAATTCTCCCTGGAGTCCTATCCTGAATTGTTCCTGACATCAACTGGGATAGGTTGGGAAGATCTGGCAGAGCGTATGACTGGTTGACATCTGCCATGTCGGTTGCAGTATTGGTGCTGTTGGCACGAAGCTGATTCGATGGATCACGCTTCGAATGACTAAATCGCGTAGTCTTAGTGATGGGTGCAGGCTGAGTAGGTCGATCGTCGTTCAGGAGTGATCCATCATACATCTCTGATGCTCGGGCATTGATTTCCCCTAGTGTCTTTCTCTTGGCTTTGGACGACACATCAGAAGACTTAAATGACTTGAATGGTACCGATGCTGGATCACGATTCTCTTTCTGCGAAGCCATGCTCGCAAGTCTGATCTGCGCGTCTTGACGAAGATTACGAGCTTGGTCGTTATTGCTCGTCCTTGATGCACGTCGATGTGTAGAGAGTGGTGGAGAGTACATGACCCTGTATTCACCGATCATGGCATTGGAAGAGTGAATGCTATCATCATTCCTTGAGTCTTCCATTGCGTCGCGCCCATGTCTGCCTCCTCTACCAATCTCTATGCTGATATCAGCTGCGTCAGAGCCACTTTCAGAGCCTTCGGAAAAGGCAGCTTTCGCGGCTTTCATGTCAATCTGGTATGCTTTATTCTTGGGACTCTCGTGATTGTCCTTTGGAGGTGAGTTATTTAGAAGTCCGGTGGATACAAGGGCTTCATTTTCAGGATCAAAGGAGCCACGCGTACCATCACCAGCCGAGCCATGGCTAACGACAGATGAGATGGTTGAATTGGGTCTTCGCTCCTCCCAGTTCCTGCGACTCAGAACCGTACCGAGACGTGGAGGATCTGGATGCTGAGGAGAGGGTGCCATTGTGGTGGGAGTGATCAGCAATAGAGCTGGTCAAGAGGCATCGAGCAAGTGGTGTGCAAGCTTCAGTTCAAGTATGAAGAACCGTAGTGTGCTGTGTCAATGCTGATATATCAATGTTTGGTTGGAAGTGTTTGACTTGCAAGCTCTGGATTTCAATTGTTTACTGATCACCCCTTCTGGGACTAGTGCCGACCCCGCCGTGGCTACTAGTACTACTACGTACTAGTACCCTAGACCTATGCCAAGCCCTTCCCAATCAGAACCACCGCGGGTGGTAACGGCTCTAGTAACATATACTAAGTAGTAATCGTAATCGTAATCGTACCCGCCCCTCTCATCATTATTGTTTCATCCGAGATTGAACATGTGTGTGTTATTACTCCATTATTCTGAGGATGTTACTGGAAGATATGTGTTGATATGTAAGATGCCTACTACCTAGCTCTCGATGCGAGCAAGTAGAAGGTGAAATTGGGGAAGCCCTCCCAAGTTTCCCAGAACAACTTTGCATGTGCTGGCTGTCTTTTATTGCCTCATCTTGCAATACATGACCTACTTACTTGAAATTACGAGAAATGTTACTCGGGAATCATCGTTCTGAGCGCTTCGGCCGGACAGGTCCAGCCCCACACCGTATCAAGTCGTCATCCGTAGCTCTGGGCTACCCAGTACAAGGGTGCTGGGGGCTGAGCCGGGCTGCTAGTTACATAGCCGCGCTGCCTTGGAGGATCATTGAGCAAGCCTTTCTCGATGTTTCATTGTCACCAATTTCAGAGGATATTCGTCGAACAGTATCTATCAAAGCGCAGACCAAGTGTTCGAACACTGAGGATACTTCTTCACCGCAGACTTGACGGTTGCTGCCCACGAAGACGGGCTCATGTCATGTCAGGACTGACTGGTTACTAATCAACCCTCAATGGCAAGAGTTGATGCTCTGCTGCCAGACAATTGATCACTCTGCAGACTCGATCGCTTGATCAATCGAACAAAATGTATATGCCAGCAGAGTTTTCGTTGCTGCATCATAGCCAGTTCAAGCGAGACGCTCAGCAAGAGTCCGCACGCGATTCCAGAGTCATATTCCTTTCTGTTAGTTTAGAATCGCGGAATAGCATTCCAACGGCACGTGCTGATTACTCCTTCTCAGGTCTCCGCAGCTGCACTCATCTTCCTCACTGTTGTCTTACTATCATACACATACATCAGACGCCGCGGTGTGCACCGAAAGCTCCCACCATCAAGAACCAGTTGGCAGTTTTGGAGAACACGCAACAAATCGTATGGCCAAGTATCAACGCACGATCGGTCGCAGAGTTATTCCGGAACTCCCACTACTACCAACGACAGAGCCACCTCGGAAGATGAGTCCGCTGCGCGCTCAGCTGTCGAGGCTGGTGTGGACAGAAATACCAGTGTTAGAAGTGTTATGACACTGCCTGCATATTCCCAAGCCCCAAAGGAGTCGGAACAGGTTATTGGTCGCGAAGGTGAAAGAGCAGGAATGGACACCGTCGTTGAATTCCCTGAAACCGTAGATGAAGAGGAAGCCAGACGGGACGAGGAGATGGAGTCTTTATACCAAATTCGGCTGGCAAGACGGCGGGAAGTGGAAGAGCGAGAACGAAGAAGACAAGAAAGAAGAGAAGCGCGGGCCAGAGGCGACTTCGAAAGGCTTGAGGAGCTCAGATTACAATCCAGGCTCAGAGCCGAAGCGGCGAATGCAGGCTCAACCACTGACCTGACAGCAGCAACAATGTTAGCCGAGCACCAATCTCGTGGGCGGGATCGACGAGTATCGAGCGTCTCGTATGCCGACGTGGGCCATGTTCGACATGATGGCAGCCGCCTCCGAGCTAACAGTGAAGATTCCGAACGGGGCGGCTTACTCGATGGTGCTGCTCCTATGGGCGAAGGTCCAAGTCAAGGTCCAAGTCAAGGTCCAAGTCACAGCCGTGTTGCATCCGGGTCTTCCTCGTTCTTCTCATTCCTTCCGCACCCTCGACTGCGCGGGCGTTCCCCTAGCTCTCTGAGCATCTCGACAGCAGCGTCTGAGCTGGACACTCCGCAGCCTGTTCTGATAACACCGCCTGCTGTCCACGAACACGTTCGGAGTAGTAGCGGCCAGAGAAGTCCGCGCGGATATGATTTGGCCCACAATAGGACCTCTTCATCTTCTCCAGCAATGCCGAGCTTCACAACAGAAATCAGCGGCGGGTCGGATGACGTTGGTGAATCCCATATTCCACCTCCTCTGGGTCCCAGTCCTCCAGCCATGGCTCCGCCTCCCGAATACGATGACCAGTGGGGTGATGCACCTGCCTACATATCTCCAGTCCAGGATAGAGATGTTGCGGCTACCTCTAGCTTCCCGAACAATCACATTGGACTCCATGATGAGGCGATACCAAGCAGAAGGGACGGCCCTCCTATGAGGATAGCCAGTAAGGCTCCAAGGCTTCCTCAGATTGACACCCTCCCTAGCATCAGCGTCGAAGGAGCCACAGAACCAAACACACCTGCAAGTCCTGTGAGAAGGCAAGGCACATCTGTGGAGCCTTGAATGAGCATTTTAGTTTGCGATCATTTGGTCCAGTCTTGACTAGCGTTGCAAATCCTCGGCGGCATATAATGTAGTTATAAAGCTCAGATATCTGGATATACTCTCATGGCGATAATGTAGGCATGAATGTGGCAAGGCTGGCGCACGATTTATGGGATGTTACATATAAAGATCAGCTAGACAAGCTATAGTGGGGTATTTAATACAGGATCAGTGACATTGATCAATGAGTCTCAGGCACAACTGATACATCTCTGTTGAAGAAAACTATAAGGCGGTGGTTTGGTGAACAAAGGTCAGCCAGTCGTTGAGTTATTTGCAGATGATAACCAGCACCTCTGGATCGATAGAGGACGCTGTAATAGCAGAAGCACTGTTGGATGTTTCCTTTCATGTATCTTGCCAAGGGCGTTGCTACGTTTAACCTTTCAGCAATTTTCCTGAATATCTCTTGAGACTTAGCATATTTCGAATGAATCTTTCTTGGAGTACCAATAAGGAACAAAAGTCTCCAGATAGTGCTAGTCTTGATTGAGAGCCCAGGAATATCAGTGTTGTCGACCAGTTTATGATACAAGGGCTACAAGGCTCACGGCAAGCGCTGGCCAGCTTGTATCAACAGTCTGTTCTCCTTCGTTCTCTTGTTGCATCCCTTAACATCACCACCACCTACTTTCTACCTTGTACAAATGATCGCCGTTTCTTTTATCTGACCATCTCACCCCATCCTACTTGTGATGAATTTGCAACACCTGCTGTTGAACGACGGTACTTCACCGGCCCGATCCCATATGAAATACTGCTCAAGCTTATGGAGCTCGTTGATTACTTCACGCTGCTGAGGTGTCAAGCGATCAGTAGATTTATGTTTCAGCTTACCTCACTTTTTCCTTGGACCAGATGGCGGACTCCGTCACCTCCCACGTGAGTCATCTTACAAGCATCCTTGGACATTCTTGACATGGATGCTGATCCATCGAAAGATCCCTGTGGGGCACTCGAGAAGCGTATTGAAGCAATGTCGAAGAGGCACATCAAAATGGAGGTATGAGACATGGATAGCACATCTAGAAGAAGTGTAAAGAGTTCCGGGCAGTATTGATAGTATTGCCGGACGGACAATTTCGTAGGTCAGGTTACAACACCTTGGTCAAGCTCACAATCAGCAGCAGCAGAGATTGCATGATATCTGCACACGCACAACACTGCGGCGATACCTGCATCATCTGCATATTCTCCAGCATCGCACTACCCTTCTCATGTCGTCGCACCCTTCTGCTATGAGATGAGATTCCAGCGGAGCAGCATAGGCTTTCCCACCATCAAAAGCACAATGAGGACCAATGCATCCTGATTCGTCAGTACGTTGAAGAGCACATCTGTAGCTTACCAGACCGATTTCTCCCTGTTCAATATATGTTCATCAATGTTGTGTATGAAAGACTTAGTAGGACTCCGATTTAGCGATCGGCTTGTCCTACATTCAGACGTGAGCTTGTCCATTGCCTCCTAGCACCAAACAACAATACAGGCATTAGGATCGCCGTAATCAATTTCTTCTATTCAAATACATAGTCAAGATGATATCACTACGGACTCGCTAAATGCGCAGAATCCCAGATGGCCTTTCCTTATCTTAGTGCTCTACGTAATATGTTGAGTGCTTAAGTAGCAAGTTACTCCATACACAAGAGGAGTTGCCCCTGTTGATCTTCGCCTTGGGACGAGTGCCAAGTCCACGTTCCTGACCCGTAGTACAGTATCTGGCGCTAAGTAGATATACTACTTGTTCATTCGGTGCTGGTCCTCCAAACCACGGTTGGCTTAACCAGAACGGGCATTTTTGGCAGGGATTGAGGCGCCCCTTTTTTTATTCTGATTACTGGCTACCACTAATAGCGAGCCAACTGCTCGAGTCTACCACAAGCCCACGAAGCGCCTTGTTCGTCAACGCTCCTTTTTTCTTGTTCGTTGTACCATTTCCCCGTCCGCGTTGCGCTGCGAGCACGCTGTCACTCTTTTTTGTGTTTTGTTGTTAAAGAGGACTTCTTGAAGAAGTCATCTGCCACTTCGTGCAATCGGGCACAACGTCACTCATTCCAGAGCTTCTCGCGTGCTTCAAATTTGTTTATACCACATTTCTACCAACTCCAGCATCCACTGCTCAGCAGCTCACCTTTGGTACTGATACATCCAGCTAGTAAAAGCTCCGTACCTTTTTACCATGCATATTTCAACACTCTTTGGGGCACTCCCCGTTCTCATTGCGATCCTTACACCCACTACTTTTGCGCAAACATGGTCTTTCTGCAACCCCATGAACCAGACCGGTTGCCCCAACGACATCGCTCTCGGCATCTCGAACTATAGTATCGATCTTACATCGCAAATAATGTCGACCGATGTCTGGAACACCACCGCTGGAACGATCAATTATGACTTTAAAGAAGGGGCACAATTTATCATCGAGAAGAAACTCGAGTCTCCTACCATTCAGTCCAATTTCCATATCTTCTTCGGACAGGTCGAGGTCATCATGAAAGCTGCTCTGGGCCAGGGTGTCGTTAGTTCAATTGTGATCCAAAGTGACGACTTGGATGAGATCGATTGGGAGTGGATTGGTGGGAATCAGACCCATGTACAGACAAACTACTTCGGCAAGGGCAATACAACTTCCTACGACCGCGCCATTTGGCATGAAGTGCAGACTCCGCAAGAGCTCTACCACAACTACACCACCGACTGGCAAAAGGACAAGACTGATTTCTACATTGACGGTCAAGTTATTCGAACACTCAAGAAGGAAGAGGCGAACGGAGGCAAGAATTACCCGCAAACTCCTGCTGATGTTCGTCTGGGTATCTGGCCTGGCGGAGATCCCAAAAACAATGAATACACTATTGAGTGGGCAGGAGGAGCGGTAGACTACGAGCAGGCACCCTTCACCATGGCTGTCAAGAGTGTTCGTGTTAGCGATGCCAGTACTGCGACAGAATACCACTGGAGTGACCAGACTGGAAGCATGGAAAGTATTGAGGTCATCAAGTAAGTCCTTATCCTCCGAAGCGCTTTTTTGGTTCTCTGCATCAGGAGCGCACACTGACCTGTACCTCCTCTCAGTGGCACAAAACGTGCCTTTGGTCTTGATGGCAACAACAGCGTCTCCCCCGCGCAGACTGCCGCCCAGCGCTGGAGAGCACTCTCCGATACTGCCAAGATCGCCATCTTCTGCTCCGTTGGTGGTGTGCTACTCGTTGCGATGGGCATTATGGCTTTCTGCTGCATCAAGCAACGAAGGGCTGGCAAGAAAGAACGTGTCCTTGCTGATGCTGAATTCGAAAAGGGCACCGCAGAGCTGCTCGCTTTTAGAGCGGAGATGAACCGCCAGCGGGCCCTGCGGATGCAGGACACCAAAAGTGGCCTAGGCGGGAATGGCTATCAGAAATTCTGAGAGGTAATAGCTCTGGTAGTGACCGAGAAACGATGCTTGAAAGGTCAGGTGATTGGGTATGACGACATTGGCGCATGGCTGGCCGGGCTGTCTTTGCTAGACGTTTAGTCTTCTATCCTCCCCTTCCGCACTTTCTCCGCGGGTTTCATATGTATGAATAGCGGCCTGCACTAGGGGAAACTCCATTACAATCACTTCACAAGTGTTTGTGTCTGGGCGTATATTTTCAGCGGTTCGTCGGATCCAGAGACCCTCTTCAGGATTATCAACCTGAGATGACATCAACGTACAAGACCAATCTGCCATTCACACTATGTTACTCGAGTATTACCCATTACGTCGCTTACCGCCCAGTAGCTGCCCAAGTAGCTGCCCCGTAGCTGCCCCGTCCAAGGGCCAAGGCATCCCGATGAATCCGGTCTCTCTTCCCCAGACTGATCTACCGTAGGATGCATGATGAATCGTCGATCAGGCCACTCCACCCCTGAAACGATGCCCCACTTTTTAAGCTGGAGCCAATCGTCATCTCTGTCAAGAATCTGGGGTCATTTGGGTGTGGTCCGTGCGGTGTATGTGGTGATTGGTTCTTTGTCTGTGAACACTCAACGGCCCATCCAGTCCCATCTGCCCTCCCTTCAACTCAACTCTCCCTCCCGTCTACTCTGCCACGTTTCCATTTCTTCTCCTCTCTTGAGCTGCTGTGTTCTTAACTCCCTCTTTTGTGTGTTGCTGTCCTTTGTCACCAACTTACCATCGGCTTTTGAGTATTGGATTGCCTTCTCACGACGTTCCTCCCTTCAGACAATCTACCCCTCCAACCTGAAACGACCCCCCGGGCCTCAATAGCTTCCTTTGTGTTGCAACACTGCACTGAAACTCGATCATTCGTTGGGCGTCAAACTGAGCTGAAAGACACGTTTGTGTATCTTCGGAATACAATCGTCTCCTTTCCTGCAACGACCGATTAGACGCCTAAATCTGATATCCGACTTGCTCCTCCAGACTTCTACGATGTCCGAACAACCCCCCCCTTTGCCACCTGGTTCTGGACGTCGACGCTCCTCCATCACAGAAATGTTCATCCCTCGGCCTGCTGCAGGCACTTATACCTCATCTTATTCTCCTCCGAACCCCTCAACTCCAATGGGCAATACTCAGGGCAACCGGCGTGGCATGTCCATCACAACACTCGGCTTGGGCGGAAATAGTCCCAACAGCCAGAATTCTCCTCTCAATGCCTTCGCAAAGCAGCGGCGAGCAAGCGTGGCCTCATCGGCCTCAGGCAGCCCCGAATTTAAAAACAGTTTCGAAGACAGTGCTGTGATCGAGGAGGATCATCAGAGCGGGGGGCCGACCAACACCCCAGCCTCACCAAGTTTTGCAAGACGGGTTAGCTTTGGAGCACAAGCTCTTCGGGATGTGAGGAGCACCGGCGCAGCACCGGCTGGTAGGCCTCCTTCTCTTTTTCCTACACTACACGAACAGCCAGAAAATGAGTCTCCTCGTAATGATGTTTCTTCCAACAATTCAAAGGCCACGACTAGGGGTGGGAGTCGAGGTTTGTTCCTTTCCCGCTCCTTACGCCGCTGCAACGTTTCGTGCCTCAATTCCCCGGCTGACAATGTTTCACTGTTTCACTATTTTGCACCCGTTATACTGACCATCTTATAGGTGAGGGCTTCAATTGGTCTGAGGCACTTCGTGATCGAACCAGACGCCAGCCTTCCGCTTCGGCTAGCGGTAATCCTTTTCAACCTCGTCAACGAGCAACTTCCATCAGCACCATGGAACCACCTAAAGAGATGCCCAAGGCACATGCACCACCTTTGACTGCCAAGTTGGGCAAGCCTGATCCACTTGGAGAGAGAATGCTGCGAGGAGACTTCATGATGGACTAGTAAAGAAGATGGCATGCATGGGAACTTGGTGATCATTAGAGATGATGATATGATCCGGAACGCAACGGCCGTTTCCTCGGCTTGGTTGTCGCTCAATCCTTCTAAATTGCACGGATTCTCATTGCACAGCTTACCGTTTCTGGCTGTATTGACACGAAGAAGTCTTTCTGCTTACAGCTTTTATCCAACCCTTGGACGTATCGAATGACTCTGCTGTTGCGAAAGCTTTCGTGGGATGACTTGGTGGTGAAGATCAAAGGTGACGGGTCGATTGTTTATGTGGAGCTGAGCAGCCTCAGGCACACAGTCGCTTCCAACTATGTATCTTTGCAGAAAGGCGTCCGTGACAGGACGAAATATCAGAGTTGAAGCTACAGACGTGTGTAGTTGTGTACCCTGTTATGCTTTGGGATGGTAACACCTTGTGACTCGTCTGCCGGGCTTCTCTATTCGAACGCATACATACATTCGACTTCCGACACTATGCCATAAACTACTGGTGAGTAGGGACGACTGCGATGGTGAGACTATATCTTCGGGATCAGCCTGAAACCGATGCAAACGAGTCAGTCTCGACCGGCCCTCAGCGACAACGCTGATGAGACCCTATACCCGCGAAAGATCCCCACTAGCGATGTGATACCGTACTAAAATCTATCCTGTTCTGGTCGCCTCGCTTCTCTACATGAAGAACCTAACGTACGTAGTAGTAGGTAGTCGTGCTTACCACCCTCCCCTCCCTTCGAGAAATACTTACCGAAGTACTACTTGAACCTCACTTGAATTCCTTCATTTTCATCTCCAACTACTGTCCGCCAAGCTGACCTCTTAAAAAAATCGGAAATTAAATATTTTTCATTTCTTCTTAGAATAAATAACACCAAGATTTCAATCCTGGTGGGTTGGTGGTGGTGCTGCCCCTTTTATCATGGACCACATACGGCACACAGGAGAGTAGGCGGCGGGCGACGGGCGGTAGGAGATCCGTATAACAGATTCGCAGGTGAATGGAGGGGCTGGAGAGTATGGGGACGTGTAATGGTGAATGCGAAAGGGTAGGTCAGGGGGGAGGGGGATTTCCATATAGACGGCTATCTGTCTGTACATTCAACCGTATCGAGATGTGAAAGGTTCATACTTACAGGTAGCGCGGAACGCGAGGGATGGGCGGGGAAACATAAATACTACGAGATCCCGACATGATTTCACAGGTTATTCTTTCCCCCCATTCTCCCTCCAGGCCGAGGGTGGGGGCGGAAAAATTGAACGTATCGAGAGAAGAGAAAATTGTGGTGAGGTTTGTGGGGACGAGGTGGAGGACAGGGGGAGAAATGAGAAAGGGAAGGGAAGGCCCCAAGGAAGTGAAAAAGGTTTCATATTGTCTCACACACTAGCTCTGTAAGCATTGCTGTCGCTCCTGATGGTTGTCCTGTCACGCGGCAGGAGCACCACGTCCGGTAACGCCTGGGCCCCTTCCACCACGACCATCCCAGCCCGCCCTAGCGCCAGCACCAGCACCAGCACCGGCACCGCGCCCGTCTCTGCCAACCCTACCACTTCTGTTGCCCGAAGGAAGCGACCCACCACGCGGAAGAGTCATCAGACCATCAAAAAGCGGAGCGTTTCCCTCCGCATCAGCACCACGCTCTTGTCGTTGCTGTAGTTGTAGCTCGAGAGCAGCAGTAGCCTCAGCAAGTCCAAGAGATCCTGGCCGGGGGTGGAGGCTGCTGGTGGAGGCAGAAGCGGTAAGCTGAGGTCGCGGTCGTGGTTGGGGCAGAGGCGCTCTGGGGGGCCGGGAGACTTCTCCTTCGGAGGAAGCAGACCGCGATGGTTCACGCATAGAAGCCGTTGCGGGCACGGATGAGAGTGTGGCTCTCCAGTTACCCAGTAAGGGACCGCGGGACTCTTGGGTCTGCTGGTGGGATGGCGGGCGGGGAGCAGAGGACCGTCCAGAACCGCTTGGTGCGGGTGCGGCTGTCCAGTTACCCAGTAAGGGACCGCGGGACTCTTGGGTCTGCTGGTGGGATGGCGGACGGGGAGCAGAGGACGATCCAGAACCGCTTGGTGCGGGTGCTGTTTCCCAGGGATTGAAGTCGGGTTGGATCTGCTGTTGGGATAGAGGGCCGGGCGGAGAAAAGAATGGGGGCGGTGGTGCGGGTCCGAGTGTACTCCCTCGGATGCCATGCCAGCGGCGTGGGACAGGTTCAGTCGGCTGTAGTGATGGAGAGAGGAGTCCTGGCGGCAGATTTTGGGGTGGTGGTCGTGATCCTGGTCCTGGACGTGGTGTTGGTGGTGCTGCTGAGTCTTGTGCGGTGCCAGCGGGAGAAGGACTGGGGGCAACGGGGTTGGCTGGCCTTGGTGGTTCCTGTCTCTGTTCATCGCCGTCGTCGTAGCGGTCCCATTGTTTCTGGGCACCCATCCCTTTTTTTTGGTTTTTTTTTTGCGGTTCTTGTGCTTCCCGTGCTAGGAGAGAGGCAGAGAAAGGGAAAGAGAGGAATCCAATTGTCGCAGAGGCTACAATTAGAACAGCAACTAGCTAAGAAGAGTACCGACAATATTCTCTATTAAATAGTCATTCTCCAGCCAAGAATCAGAGAGCTGAATCCAATAGATTGAGGAGAAAAGGGGCAGAGTGATTATGAAATATATGAGGAATAAGATACACCTCGCATGAACCACACACGTGTCATGATGAATGGTGAGGGAACAGGACATACCCACTTCTTGACACAGATGCTCGTCTTCTTAATGCAAGCCTGTTTGAAGGGGTCGGCCCCTGCAGCCCATCCAAGCCAAGAAAAGGGGCTTGTCAAGGAGGAACTTAGGGCGACTATAAACACTAAACGCGGGTCGGAACCTGACCGAACCGTTAGCTTGTCAGACTCCGTGTGGGACAAGGCCGAAGGGCCGGTGTCAGGGCATGGCCGACTGTGCCAGCTATGGGTACAGCTTGAATCAGCAGAGAGAGAAATGTTATTGCATTAGTAAGTTATTGGATTTATGGCCTCGGTCTTGCCTCTGTCGTCCTGCCACCTGTCATGCCGCCTGTCATGCCGCGTGATGGAAGCCGGACCCTCGAGACGCTGCATACCTGTAGTCACACCAGAACCTCTGATATTCGGAGAATAAACCTGTTGGTGTTCTTGAAGGATAACACTACATATGGAGACTCTTTTTGGATTGACGACGGCTCTAAATAGAGTTATTAAAGCGATACCATATTGACCGAAGAGGGTCTCTAATATCCTTTCCGGAGGTCGAGCTGTATTACGCGACTTGACAGTATCCGTGCCCGGACTCGTGCTTCATTGGCTTTCAGCCCGCAACTGTTTGCTTGAAGTGGATTGAGATAAAGTGGAAGAAAAATGGCTGGCTGTAGGGTAATGAAAGGTGTGGCGCCCAACACTGTGCTCTCGCTTGAGCTCTGTTGCATCTTGGAAGTTGCGTAACCCCGAGGACTGAATGGTAAAGAGTGTGTCAGCCAGCAACCAGTCAAGATTGACTAGATTGCTTGAGAACGTTGTCATGATGTTCAAGTCAAGATAGAATGCAGGCGTTCAAGCGTCAATTAGAAAATTGAAAGGAGGCGATGTGGAAGAGATGGAGAATAGCTTCGACTAATCCCACCAAGGATCTTCCAAGAGTTCGTCCACCGTTGCCCTCTTAGCTGGATCAAGGTTCATCATCCGACCCACGAATCTTTTGAGGTTAGAGTCGAGATTTGGGAAGTCCTCCTCGACCCAAAGAGCGAAGGGTCTCCTTGGCTTGTCCTTAGAGAAGCTACGGTTCAAGGTCATCAAGGCCAGGCACCATTGATCGTTGTCGATGTGTTCCAAGAGCCCCAGGGGCACTGGTCCAAAATAGGAGATCATTCGCTCCAGCACTTCCACCTCTGGCTCAACGCCTTCCACCAGTTTCTCTCTGTCGAAACCAAAGATATGAAGTCTCAGCACAGCATGGATGCACTGTGGGTGGAGCGTTCAGTGAGGCCCGGTGTAACGGAGCTGGAACAGAGAGGTCGACGGGAGCACTTACAACAATCCCAAAAGAGAACACGTCTGATGCTTTGGTAATGCCAATTCCCGCCTGGGCTTCAGGACTGCGCCACATGACGTTACCAACCTGGATTCCTGTGATATGCTCACCGTTCCTGACTTTGGCGGCGCTCTCTGGATCAGCCAGATTGACCCTTGAGATATCTACTTCCCCGTTGGGCTGCAGCCTGTACTCAACCACGACGTTGTCTGATTTGACGTCTGTGTAGATCAGTGACTGCACCGTGCCCTCGTACATAGTTGAAGCTAGCGTACCCGTATGGACCCAATCATTATCATGAAGTTCTTTGAGGCCACTCAAAACGTCACGCAGAATCCTTTCGTCTGAGTTATTGGGATTTCGCGACTCTTAACAAAGCCGAGCAGATCCTCGGGGAGATATTCGTAAACGAGAATGGATTCATTTTCACTTTTGATAGTGTCAACAGGCAGACGAACAAAGAGGCTGCTGCGTAAATCATGGCGCAATATTTGTGTCTGCTCCCAGATGGCTGGCGAAACAGGTTTCAGCACATAGTTTTTTGGTTGGTAATAGAACATTGCTTATCAGCTCATCGATCATCTGGTATCCTGGAGCTTTGAAGTGTGTACCTCGCAAGGCTAATACTATGATTAGGATTTGTATGGGGTCGAAGTACTCTCTGGACCACATATTTGCAGCCGGACTGGGCAACGTGTGCTCTGGATGCATTGGCCATACTTACTGCGCTGCAACGCATGCTCACTCCGGACAAGCAAGAAGAGAATCGAGGTGAGAAAGTAACAGCTAAAGAAACGGACTTTCGGTTGTTGTAAGAAATCAACAGAACGATTGAGTTTCCAAGCCATGATAGTACTCATTGATATGCTTGGAGTTTACCAGCCTTCTCAAGGAACCGCTCTGGGGGTACATAAACTGATGATATTGATGATATCGGTGACCAATCGTAGTACACGTGTACACTAACTAGGTTACTCATGTTGAGGTAGAGCTAGGCTCGTTGGTCTGCATGAGGCCGATATGCATCAACTGCGGACGATTATCAATCATCACACCGGATCAAGCAGATCACAGATACTGTACAGTAGAGTTCGGCAGCACCACTGCGGAGTACGTCAATTGCTATGCACCCCACTTGGGCGCAAAGGGTTATACAAGGCCTGGGTATGGTGATCGGGTGCCAAAGTGGAGAGCTGGCGGTCGTCAGGGTACGCATGAAATGGGTTGGCGTGGAAAACAAGTCAGTAGAGCTCCAAACGCCTACAGTCAGCGATTTTGCGCTTGCATTGTGGGGGCTGATTCTACCCTACGTCAGTCATATTTCAGGGCGGGTATGGTGGGTACAAAGATCTCTTCAAAGTAGCGTCAGAGGTGAGCACGTGGGGTCAATGGCCTTTGTGGCGCCCCGGGAGAAATGTCTATCGTCATGGGCTGAGCTAGAGTACACCATATTTGTTGAAACTTGCAACGAAACCGAGGTGAGATCTGGGGAGGACGAGCTATATCAAAGCAATATGCGCACGTCGACTACAAATATTGGGTGGAGTATCCTTCCCTTTGATTCCAATCTCCTTCTCTTGTTGATGTAGAGCAACTATGGCCTCTCCTCCGAAACTGCCGTGTCGGTTAGGTGCCTTGATCAATTTCATCCCTCTGAACGAAGAATCGCCAATGTCAACTCGTGGCCAGCGGCTGCCCGACATACTTCATCAACGATCTAGCTTGACTTTCGGTCTTCGTGAGCGCAGAAGCTCATGCACCAGATCTGATGATGAAGCCAGGGGACCGCGCGACGAAGTGCACCGATTATGGCTAGGGGATATTGACCTACGAAGAATGGGCTCTGTGCATGAGATCTTGATGACTCCGCAGATGAGAAGCATGAGGTTGATTGGGAACAGTAATCCCAGGTACAAATGGCAGCAATATTACAAAACGAAGGAGGAGCTCCAGAGCATGAAGAAGCCCATTCGAAAGTACTATGAGCGGAATAATTTCCTAATTACGCAATACCTCTATATCGACAGGTTGCTGGACTCCTCGTTGCCGCATTCGTTGATACAAGAATACAATCAGCCAGCAAGTATAGGGGTGCATGTACCTCAGACCATATCAGAGGAGCCGCAATCCGCACGTACCAACCAGTCCTCACAGGATGGAATGCTGAGTCCGATCATGAGTGGAGACACACAGGGACGGGTGAAGAGGACGCCAAAGAATCTGTATAAGCTCTCGGATGAGAGCACACCGTTATTGGGGGACAATGAGTCGTATCCAGATATCTGCTACGATGAAGACGAGGGCGTCGACAGTGGAAGTCCTATTGTGACTGTAGCCCTCTACATCAACCTGACAGCCAACTTTGTCCTCCTCGTAGGCAAGATTGCGGTCATTGTATTGACCTCTTCTCTCTCCGTCCTCGCCAGTTTAGTGGATGCGGCGTTGGACTTCCTCAGCACCGCAATCGTCTGGGTCACAACCAAGCTCATTGCCCGACAGGATCAATACGCATATCCCATTGGGAGGCGAAGACTCGAACCAGTCGGGGTGCTCGTCTTCTCGGTCATCATGATTACATCTTTCTTTCAGGTCGCGTTGGAGTGTTTCAGTCGCTTGACCTCTGGAGATCACAGCGTTGTCGAGCTTGGGACACCGGCAATCTGTATCATGGTAGGCACCGTGGTTATCAAGGGCTTTTGCTGGATATGGTGTCGCCTGATCAAGAACTCTAGTGTGCAGGCACTTGCTCAAGACGCCATGACTGATGTGGTGTTTAATACCTTCAGCATCATTTTTCCTCTGGTTGGATTCTACGCCAACATATGGTGGCTGGATGCTCTCGGTGGCCTTCTTCTAAGCTTCTACGTCATGTTTAACTGGGCATCCACTTCGTCGGAGCACATCCGAAATCTGACGGGGGCTGCTGCCACGGCTGATCAAAGGAACGTGCTCCTCTACCTTACCATGCGCTTCGCAAAGTCAATCAAGTACATCCAAGGCTTACAAGCCTACCATGCAGGCGACAAACTGAACGTGGAGGTAGATATCGTGCTAGACGAAGACACAAGTCTCAAGGATAGTCACGATTTGAGTGAAAGCTTGCAGTATGTTTTAGAGAGCGTGCCGACAGTGGATCGAGCCTTCGTTCATACGGATTACTTGGCTGTAAACTTGCCTAGTCACATGAACCAGCAGGAATGATGGTTGCGCGTTTTACAATCTTACCGGCACGGTAATCATCATGCCTGTGGATTTCACATCCATGTACCCTGGTGGTGGTGCCTAAGGAATATCGATCCTACATAATCATCGCTTGCGGACATGATCTGCTACTAGTAGCTCCCATACATTGTATACATATCTAAGATAGGCGGAGGAGTTCTGTGCCAAGATGCACGTCAGTCGTATCTCGGCCCGATCCCCAGCACATTTCAGGAGCACTCGTAAACCCTCCAAACAAACAGCCAAACAGCCTGACAGCGTATTGTGGGGAGAGGGCTCCATGTCTTATGCTCCCCAAGCTGTATATCCAAGTTCCTTCGCGCAGTGGCACAGAACAGTGCTCGTTACTGTCCATACTCGAGTATCAAAGGAGTTCAAGTGTGGCCGGGCAGGCTTCCCAACTTGAAACAACCGCATCTCCATACGATGCCGCTCCGATAGTGAGCTTTGAACCTTGACGACCCACTCGTAACAACTTCGCCCTTTTCATCGACCGTCCGAGACCTGTCCTAGGATCTTTTATAGCGATCCCGGCAAAAGGCCTAGAGCTTCCAGCGCAAGAGCGCGTATTTGCTGGAGTTATGGAGAAGACAGTCAAAGGCGCAACCAAAATCAAGGTCCTGCTCTAATTCCATGCTTCGCAGATACCAGACTGATACGGTCCCTTTAGCTAGCCGCTCCAAAGTCAAAGTATGTCGAAGCTATCCTTTCAGCGACAAACGGCGGGGAAGCGGGAGTGGCAGAAGTCTTTCGGACCTTGCAATTACGATTACGCGACTCGACATGGACGATAGTATTCAAATCTCTGATCATCACACATCTCATGATCAGAGAAGGACAAGGGGATCTGACATTGCGGTATATCGCGGAGTCGCCGAAGAGGCTGGCAATCAGCAATTTCACAGACGGTGCGTACATATCTGGATTGAACACGAACTGGGCTTCTGGCAAGCTTGCGGAGCCTGATTATAGATGTCGATGGGGAAATGGGGGCCCCAGCTGACGTGGTTGGCATCTAGTACAAACGCAAGGGACAAATATTCGTCGATATTCGGACTATCTCTTGGAGAAAGCTAGAGGCTATCGAGACACCCAAACCGATTTTGTCAAGGCAGGATCCGGTCGCCTAAAGCGGCTGACCGTCGACAAGGGTCTACTGCGCGAGACTGAAGCTGTTCAAGAACAGATACGAACCTTGCTGAGATGTGATGTGAGTAGACTGATGCTTGTACGGCTGGAAGGTGCTGATCGAGGCAGATGCTCGAGAGCCACGATCCTGACAATGAAATCACATTAACAGCGTTTCGACTGCTGACCCTGGACCTGCTCGAGCTCTTTAAGATAATGAATGAAGGTACACTCAACGTATTGGGTGAGTTATTGGATTCTCTAGCTGCCTTGCATCCTAATATATTTCAGAGCACTACTTTGAAATGTCAAGACCGGACGCAGAGCGGGCCTTGAACATCTATAAGACTTTTGGCAGACAGACAGACCAGGTGGTTCAGTATCTGACTGTTGCTCGCCAGTATGAAAGCTTGACGAGATTGGAAGTGCCCAAATTGAAGCACGCTCCGACCACCTTGACATCTTCTCTTGAAGAGTATCTCAACGATCCCGATTTTGAAATCAACCGAAGACAATATCTGGCTCAAGCTCAAGGCGCAAAGGGTTCATCCAAACCTGCTTTCAAATCTGAACCAACCTCGACTCCGTTCGACAAAGCTAAGAAATCTGATTCGTCCTTCCCTGCGGAAGCAAATTCACCAGCCCAAGCATCAACACAGGCTAAGGCACCTGCACCGGACCTGATTGATTTCTTCGATTCCATTGAGCAAAATCAACAGCCTATAGCGCAGCCAACCGTGGCTTCACAACCATTCGCCAATGGATATCCACAAGCACAGCATTATCAACAAGCAGCGTTTGCTGCTCAGCAAACCGGCTATAATCCATTCTCAGTGAATCAGCAGCAAACAGGCTCGTATGCTCAGCCCCTCGCACAACAGCCACAGCAACCCCAAGGACTTCAGCCAGACTTCACAGGTGCTGGCTTTGGTGGCTACACCCCGCAACCGCAACCGCAACCATCACAGTACAATTTCCCGTCCACGCTTCCTTCGATACCACAAAATGGGGTGGCATCCTTCGATCCACAGCAACAAGCACCACCATTTCAGCAGCCGCCTCAGCAGATCCAAAGCCAAGCTCCTTCCACCAATCCTTTCCGTCAGTCCGTAATGCCGACTGGCGCACCCACTAGCCCCGCCGTTTCATCCTCACCCTCTATCCGGCAATCCACGAATCCTTTTGCAAAGAGCCTCAATCCGCAACCTACATCGAACTTTCCAGCTTCATCTCCACCTTTCTCCAACTCCAACTCACCTTTTACTTCGCCTCCGCCACAGACTCAACAGCAGGAGCTGCAACAGAACTCTGCGCTCTTCTCACCTCCACAACAGTCTTTACAAACTCCGATTCAGACTCTACAACCACAAAGGACCGGCACGAATCCATTCGCGCGCAACAACAGATCGCCAGCCATGAGCACAAGCCCAACCGAGCAGCAGCAGCCGCCTCCCCCTCCACTTCTGTCAGCTGTCACTGGGAGTACGAACCCTTTCCGACAATCACAATTCGTGCATCAGCAGACAGGGCTGGGTTGGCAGAATGTGCCAGGTAGCCAGGGAACGTTCGGCGGGTACGATGTCAACCATGTAAATACGGTGCCTATATTTCCCAGACCGGGAGCAGGTTGATAGCGCTTTTGCTTGCTGGGGGGTGTCCAAGTACTTAATGTGTGAAACTGATTATGTGATGCTTCTCTTCTACCCATCATCTAGGGCGCTGCTAGGGATGTAGCTGCTGGTTTAGCCATCTTTGGGCTCTCGATTAGCGCTTACAAAAAGAGGTTTTTCTTAAAGACAATCTTGAAGATTCATGTCTTCCCAGCAGCCTAATTGACGAACCCTCGTGCCCTGGATTCAGCGTCGCAACCCTACGCATCAGGCTCCCAGGCGACACTGTTTTCGTGCTGGAGACTGCTTCCAAGTTGAGTCACAACACCAGATCCTAAAATCCTGCCTCGGTGCTCTACAGCGCTAAGTCTCCTGTTCTTCTATGCTCGGGTCTCTCAATTTTCTGCTGCTGAGGTGTCCTGACTCTCCATCTTTCAACGTTTTTTTTCCTTCACAGTCTGCTGTTTACTCTCTACCACTCCTATCCCTCACGGTATCCATTTTTCCATCTCCTCTCCTCCCTCTGTTCCTCTTGAACCAGCAATCAGCCACCACCAAGCTGTACCAGCGTGATGACTGGCTCCCTTGGCTCCCTTGAGCTCCCCGATGCACATCCCATACCCCTCTCATCACCCAACTACAAGAGCAAGCCCAACCCGGGGGGAAGGGGGGAATTAAGGATTAACTACACAGTTCGAGGTGACGTCATGTATGAAAGGTTAAGCGGTAATAGTAACTGCTAGAGCGGCAGGCCCTGGGTCTGTAGGGCGGAGTCGGATGTCTGACGCCTGACGCCTGACGCCTGACGCCTGACGCCTGACGCCTGTCAAAGGGGAAACGGATCAGAGAGCGGAGAGATTGAGGAAAATTGAAGGGAGGAAGGAAGGGGATCAGAGGAGCGGCATCTACTCCGATTTCTATTGGATTATGCTGCTGCTGTTCCATACTGATGGGTCATTTTTGGGGGGGGAGTTGTGATCGAGAGGGACTGGCGAGAGACTCGAGATGAGAGTTGTTGTTGCTGCTCTTTCTGGCTATTTTTCCCTCCGAGAGGAACCGGCGGTTGGTCTTCGAGCTTTCTCCATCACCGGTCACCGAAGATAGAGCAAGGGAGAGAGGTAGGAAGAGAGGAGACAGGCCTCCCCTTTCCATTCATTCTCTCTTCCCGCTTCTGGCTGCTGGGTTCCCAAGGGGCCGGCCGAGAGGCTGTAGACACAAAGACGTGGTGCGCCCTTTTTAGCTCACATGATGTAGAGATATTTGTGTCATGTTCTTCTGCCGGATGCTGCCTCTTTGTTCTAAACCAGAATCGTACAGCTCCGTGTACTTATGTATACACACACTTCCGGAATGCTCCATGAACTGAGATTTTCCAACACTGATATACATGTAGTGGCCTGTTTGAATCAGTCCATGATCTCATATTCACCCCCCCCCCCCCCCCGATATTGGTCAATAGCCTGACGGCTGAACCAGCAACTTGGAAGAATGTATAACGGATGTGTCGTATAAAATTCTAGATAGAAAACTGATAATGACAACTATCTATCTATTAGTCTTGACCAAATTACCTGATCCGGCGGCGGATCCGGGATGACAAACCTCCCGATGGGCTCGCCGACCAAGCGACTCAACCTTCTCTGCCTCTCCTTCCTCTTCCCATCCATCTCCCTCGCATACCCCTTCATCTCCTCGGAATACAGATACGTCATCTTGGCCTCCTGCAACGCGGCGCGGACCGCCAACTCCCTCTCATGGGGTGGCAGCTCCTCCAACCCCTGCTGCATCTGCAGCTCTCTGATCTTCTTCTCCACGAGCGCGGGCTCCAACTCGACCAGCTGCTGCACGCTGGGGCTGGGCCTGCTGGCCTCGAACACCGACGACAGCGGCGCGGCACCGGCGTACCGCTGCGCCTGGCGCGGTCGACCGCAGCCTCGTAATCCATCATGCGGTGGTAGAGCTTGTCGGCGTGCATCTGGATGCGCTCTTCGTCGTCGTCGCTGCTCCCGGCCCGGCTCATGTAGCCCAGCGCCTGCAGGAACTTGCCCTGCAGCGCGTAGCACCGGTTGAAGGCCTTGGTCTCTTCGCGGCACATGGTCATGCGCGCCTTGGCGCGTTGCGCCGCCGAGCCGGATGTGAAGCATGTCTGTTGCAGTTCGTGCTCGAAGGCGCAGTTTTCGAGCGCGGCGCGCGAGAGGAGCTCGCGCCGGTCTTTGCGCGCCGACACGAGCCGTTCGAGCGGGCTGCTCGTCGTCGCGGTGATGGAGTCCTGGGGCGTGTAGGTCGACCAGAGGTGAGCGTAGCGGCCGTCCGGGAAGAGGGAGGCGGGGGGGACGATGGGGTTGCTGGGTGATACATTGGCGTTGGTGTCTGCGGGGGACCTGTTGGGAGAAGATTGGGGGGAGGGAGAAGGTTTTGGGAGTGGTGATTGTGGTTGTGGTTGCGCTGCGGGTGGTGCCTGGGCGGGGACGTAGGGTCGTGGTTGTTGCGAGTTGAGGAATTCTTTGAGGGTCGGATCAAGGGATCTTGTTGGATCCCGGTCGTCGTTGTTCTTGTTTCCTCCCCAGAGCCACCCCATGCTCATGAACCAGCTTCAGGCTTTGTCCGGGTCCGATACTCCCATGGACATTTGAGATTGCTGCAACGTCTGTGCTGAGCAGTTCAATTGGGGAAGCTCTATGCCAAGAGGGGAGGTTTCTTGGCAGAGATTATGTAATCCAATGGATGGTGACAAATTTGATGCCAGCAGTCTAGTGGCTGCAGACACAGAGATCCATGCTGGAGATTTTGTAACTCAACCCAAGTAATCTTCTGGATGAGATCAGTCCAGGTCGCCTACTTTGCTATGGCTGTTATGTGGATAATGTTGCCTTGCGTGCGCCTTACTACAAGTACAAGCCTCGGCTCCCATCTACGCTTATTCTTTCTAGCTCCAACACCAGTAATGTTTCCATAATAGAGATATACTCTGAGACTTACAACGAGGGCAATTCCTGTTGTAGATGGGGAATGTTGTACATGTCCATCGGCCACAATATGGCAAGTCGCATCCTACCCAGCCCTCACACGCGAGGAACGCGCTGTTGAGGCCTGGTGCCACCTAGGTGCCAGCTGGGGACCCTGTGATCGGGCCCCTCAACTCCACTCGCAGCGTCCAACGACGTCTGCCTTGCGGCTTGCTGTTCCTCCTGTTCCTCCTGTTCTGCCCCGGCCCTTGCAGGCCCATCCGGCTGTGAGTCTCCCTGCTCGAGATTGATGATCTCCAAGTCCAGTTTCTCGAGAGCCAACGAGAACTGCGCCACCCCCTGTAAGGCCCACATGTTGTCCCCTCCATCGTCGTCTTGAACGGATAGCAGAGCCTTCAGATGGCGATCGAGCATCTTGCGTCTCTCCCTGGGATATCTAAATATCTTCATCAGCTCAGTGATGTGGTGATGGATCGCCCATCTCCGGATCTCTCGTTTCTCTTCTTTCGTCATGTTGACGCTGGTGTTGATAAGCGCCTGCTTCAGCTCCTTATCGACATCCTTAGTGTGGTTGAAAGGCCTCCGACCGTCCACGCGGTTGAAGAAGTCCGCCTGGCGGCGGAGAAGGTTTCGCTTGGCTTCGTCGAGCCATGGATCGTAACTCCGTCTTCGAGGAAGTTCAAATATATGTGGTATCCGATTAGGATGAGATGGTGGCCTCGGGTATTCTGATGCACCACTGCTTGGGTCTCTAGATCTACTACGCCTTCGGCTGGTATCAGGTCCGCTGGATCCTGCCGAGTTCGATGGCATGGTTCCGAACCGTCTCTGAGGAGGTCTTACGCGGCATATATCAAAGCAAGGCAGGAAGAGCAGATGAGCGATAACGGATATTTCTCCACATCTCCACAGCGTGAACATAGGGTTTATAAAATTGCAAAGTCGTTGGTCCTCGGCTCCACCTGAAGACACATCTTCTTCCGTCCGAAACATAATTCCCCTGGGCATCACGAAGTAGCCAAGTCAAACTTGACGGCCTGCATCTCGATGAATGTCTGATTAGATATTCGCTCGATCAACATGTACCGGAAATAGGAATCCGCCATGAAACAAGCCAAGTCACACCAGAATGCTCATGCTCCTGCAGATATCCTTGCACGCCTCCCTCCCGTGCCCGGGCGTCGCACCTCCAAGGCTAGATAGATCGGAAAAGGATCTAAAATGTGGACGATAGTGTAGCGATGTATGTGTTTCAAGGCTCGACAAATCGGAAAAGGACGTAAAATGTGGACACAAAATGTGGACATAAGATGTGGACGAAAATGCAACATTATCCCCTCCGTACCTGATGTGCCAATTAGCGTAAAATGCCTGAATTAAGCTTTTTTAAGCCGCATTTGATCTACGCAGCGTTCCGCAGCTGGCTTCGCTTTTCAATTTCTTATAACTAATTATGCTACGACCACGACGAGTTACTCAAATTCCTTTGAGATATAGGTCAAACTCACCTCCCCGATCTGAACAAGCTCATAACCAGCCAAAACGACGAAGAATTGACCCTGTGGCGATCGATCGAAATGATGTTGATCAGGCCTTGGCAGTGATCGAAGCTGCGTCGGAATGTACGAATGAACTGCCTACATTATTACCAACAGAACTGCCTCAATTTGAGGCTAATTACGTTCAAAATCGAGCAGGATCCTCTCAATACTCTGATCTATCAGAATTAGGCTTTTTT